ATACAGTGCTTATTAATATACGTTGGGTAAGGGCAAACTCGTTATATATAATTAACATCTCCCCAACGTAAAAATACATCTTGAAAAAGAAAAGTATGGGCAATGTTACTGTAAAGTGCAAGCGTATTCATTAAACATTATCATTCAACTTGTTTCAATCAAGAATTTGTCCCAGTGGTCAAGTTTCTGTTCATTTGAGGCACAGAAGGGTTGTGTTGTCCTACCAGCCAAGCTCTTTCAATGGTCCCAACAGCTAGAAGATTATCCTTTCATTGTTTAATATTGATTCCCACAATACATTGCAGGATATTCTATTTCAGGGGAAACAAAGTCAGATTTAGCACTAGGCCTGAATGCCATCTCATGAATATAAAAGCAATTTCAACAGTACCAGCATATCAGGACCATCACTTGGTTGTACATGTATATCCACTTCCTAGAAAAAAAATAACTAAATTAAACTGGCCAAAATTTACATGCAGGTTTTGGAAATAGTTCCATACATGTCATTTTTTTCTAATAGCTGATTTACCACTGCAGTGAAAAACTAGTGAAGTCCTTATATGGAACTCAGACCTAGGTTTTTTTTACTAATAAAGAGAACTTGGTGGATCTTTAATATTAGTGGGTCTTGGTGATTACTCACTGGTGAGTTGTGTAGTGTCTAAAATTTAGGATACTTGTCATAGAGTTATGGCATTATTATTCAACTCTTGAAGAATAAAGGCATGAATCACATTGTAACTGTGTTAGTGACAGACAAATTCTGCTGGTTTTGATGATGGTAGAATATATTGAATAATGTGCATGGGTAATAATGCCATATTAATTTGTCTTATTTTATTTACCAGGCCAAGTTGGAGGCCCAGCTCAACATCCACAAACAGGATTCCAGACAGCGGCAGCAGCGTCTCCAGTCAGAACTGGACGCCATCGTCAAACGGCAACAGCAGCTGGAGAGGACTAACGCCCAGCTGCAGAGGCGAGCCGGTGACGTGCGCAGCGTCCTGCGGGACCTGGAGTTGAGCGAGACGGACTACATCGAGCTGAGGGCACTCTCTGAGGAGGAGCTGTCACTGCGGGATTACGTCGCTGTAAGTGCTACAAAAAACTCTGATAGAATCAGGCTTTTCCTTAGTTACTGTAAATTGTCGGCCATTCTCAGAAACGCGGTGTTGTGATCGGCAAACTTCATTTCAGAACTGTTGCACAGCGATGTAGTTATTTGTACATTGCTTTATCCTCTGCAGTTTTCCGTCACCTTTTTACAGTCTTGTAGTTTAGATCTACTGTTTTAGCTGTAAAAAATGCTGTTGATGCGTAGACATTTGACTGGAAAAGTTGATGATCGGGGAAAGTTGTAAGCCAGTAAATAGGTCCAGAATTGTTAATGTTATCAGTGTGAATACCCTCTGTTTCTGTCATGGGTTTTCAAGGAAATTTCACCCAAACATCATAACATTGCTCTTCCCTGCCCCCCAAAAAGTCTATGACAACGTATAGTGATTAAAACTCTTTACTGAGATAAAATGTGTAATTTTGGTTCACTTTGGCTTCTGGATCAGACAACTACATGTGCCTGTGTTTCTCCTGGGAGCGTATTATTTTGAATCACCAACTTAACTTATTGTAGGGAATGTAGTCAAGCAGTTGTTTGGAAATTATTATCTGAGGGTTAGAGGTCCTAATGCAGGTAGTGACTATATGTATATGTTGTGTCCCTGAGCAAGCCACTTGACCCTAATATAATACATGTGCATTAGCGGGGGAGTAACGTGTGACAGACTTCCAGCCCACTTGGGCAAAAGAGAAGCTCTGCCCTGTCGTGCCATGAAAACAAGAGACCTGTTCAGTCAGCCTGATAAGTTGTCTAGTCTTCGTTATGGTCCATCTGCTAACTACGTGTATTCTCAGCGCAGTCTGAAAATGACGACCACTGTTGGCTAATCTGTTACTTTGTTGTTGAGTTAGTTTGACTTGGTCTACTTTGTTTGTATCAGTCAACATTTCTTTGATGATTAGTGGAATCGTGTCCACTTGCATGTTTCCAGAGTTATTATTTAGGATTAAATTTGAATTTGTTTTGGATGCTTTTCATTTTTTTCCCCAATTTTTGTGACCCAATAGGTTTTATTACACGGACAAGTTTCCTTTTACAGGTGCCCTCAAACGCATCTTACAAGTGAAAAGTTTCAGTGCTGAAACAGGGCTTTAAATACATGTAGTGCATGCTACACGTATTATTAAGCTGGCCAGTTATCAGTATATCCTGTCAGACTTGAAGGTTAGGTTTTTATAAAACTCAAGGTCAAGACAAAAACAAGTCAGCTCATATGTTCGATTTCCTTGCCTTTACAGGGTATGCCACAAAAGATGTATCTGTTTTATAATCAATTCTCACATTAAGTCAACTCAAAAAACCAGAGAAATGCAGGACAGAGGGAGAACAATATTTTGAATTTGTAAGGGACAGGAAGAGAAACAAGATTTTTTTCAAGAGGAAGTTCATAAGCGGACAGTTTCCCACAAAGATTACTTTCCCTTCTGTGCCAAGTCATCCGTGTTTAGAAGGCCTCTTTTACAACAGTCATACTCTGTTTGTACTCAATGCCTACAGTACATGTATTGATACTCACACTGAGTTTTCTGTTGAGTAGAAAGGGGCGGTGGGGTTGTCATTGTTGGTGAGTAGAACAAATCATTGTTTTCGTAGAATTGTTATTCAGGGGAGTATGCATGGCTGGTACAGTCATAGCCTATTTCGCTTGATGTTTCCAGTCAGCAATGCCAAATGTTGCCTCTGTATTTTATAGTACTTTGTGTGATAGTTTTGAATACTACATTAGAACCAGGAAGAGATTTACTGTATGAAACTATTGATAAAATGAAATATTCTGGGTGCTGTATTTGGCTGTTATTTATTATCAAACATTGCCTTTTTTTTTAAAGAAATACATGTCAGTTTAAGTTTTGGTTTGACCCCTCTTGATACACATCCTGTTTGTCCCCCTATTTTAGCCAAGCATTGAATTATCAAGATTAGGATGATTTTGATTCATGGATCTTGTTTACATGATACAAGGTCTGGAACAATTTGATATTATCTAGACTCAATACAAATGTTGAGGACAGATTTTAATCAAAACTATTTCAAAGGAGGGAGGAAAACTCTGGTTTGATGTTCTGGAAAAAATGCCAAGAAATAATTTTGTTACTATTTTTTTATCCTGGCCATAATTTGTAATAAATGCATACATACATGTACATGTAAGTAAATTGTGCAGTGCATTTCAGCATTGTTTTAATTTTGTAAGATTGGACCATGAAAAGCACGATGAGTTTGATTTTTTTTAAAAGACGAAGCAATTATCTGTAGGCATTAGTCATTGGTATCATTTTCAGACTTGGCCAACTTCCAATTCAACATCACTCTTTCTTCGTCTGCTCGCATCACAGGTGAAATTGTATGACAAAGTACGACCCCTCCAGATTGAATTGACTGACTTGAGAGGCTGGAACAGCACCCTAGAGCAGCAGGTCAACACTTACAAGGAAGACTTAGCAAGAGTGCAACAGGTACATGTATACAGGTTAAGAAATCCTGCCAAACCAGGGCAGGCATCTAACCACTCCACCATCAAGCCTTCCTCAAGATTGTCTGGCAAGTGGATTGTTGGGCCCACTGCTGTATTTGATTTTGAAAAAATGAAAGCTAAAATTTACATCAGTTGGTTGAGAAAGTCCATCAAAAGTCGTACGTCTCAATCAACATGATCCCAAGTGGTATTTTAGTACTGTAGCTGTTAACAGTAGAAAGGCACAGTATCATGTGCCATGTGGAACAAAATCCAGATTGTGGTCATGATTCAAGCAGTTCTTCATATTGTAAAAGAATTGAGATTATAAAATACGCTTCATTTAAGATGTTTGCTTTTTTCCCAGGATTTGTACCTCTTTTGACAGAAAAGTTGTGGTCAAGTTTTAATCATTAAGAAGTCTTGAAACTCTGCCATTTATGGTGACATTCCAAAGAGCAAGTAATGGATACTGTAATGACTTCAACTTCTTTTATCCAGGATTAGAGCTCTTTTCTTGGTTATTTTTGTCAGCTACATGTACATGTACATTGGAATAGCCAGTGGAATCCTGTCAACTTTTTTGCATTTTTGCATTTAGGAGAGTTCTTCATATTTAAGGCTGAGTCAATTTGAATTATTGAATATTGATTATTAGCTCTTCCACTCTATCGAAATTTGAATATTCAGTTAAAACCAAATTATGCATGTTTGTATGTATGTGTGTGGGGGGTCTACGGACAGGAGTCTGTCCCCCATAAAAAGGAGAAGGATGGGAAAACCAACAGATCTTTGGTTCTAATTAGGAATTCAGTTGCCCAATCACAAAAAAAGAAATCCACATACATGTACATTTAAGGGAATTAAATTCAAGTTTGCTTTACTCATAATGCCTTGAAATTACACTTTGGAAAGTAGCTTTATAACAAAACAAGTGAATTTTGTTCCTGTTTTTATTGCTTATCACCTCCAAATAAGCTATTTGGAAATAAATTTTCCATTATTCAGTCATTGCTTGAATAATCATACATTCAGCATAGCCCGACTCAGTGTCCATGTTACACCTTGCATTGCTCTCCTTTCAACAGACACTTAGCACAGAGCACAATGCAAGATCAGAGGCCGAAACCAAATGCCAGCGTTTAACTCTGGAGTTAGCAGACACCAAGGCCTCCATACAGCAGGGAGATTACAAGAGGGAGAATTACGACAGAATCAAGAGGTGTGTGACACTGGGTGTTTCATGGAGCAATCCTATTTTGTCCATCTTACATGTATTTGCATTCTTTCCACTTCCCCATACAGTTCCAAGAAAAAAAAAAGACGACCCTCCTCAGTAGCTTGACTGTGATGAATTTTCTGAGGAGGCAATTCAGGGTGTACCTATGTATCCAAGGGGCTACTGAAACTGAATGAAGTGTGGCTTGTACATTTACCTATATGTTGGACATGTACATTTCAAAATTTCCAGGTGGGGAGCCCTACTGGGGAGCATGGACTTTTGCCGCAGGGGGGTACGTAACCCCATGCCCCCGTAGCTACATTACTGACTGCGCTAGGTCTAAAATACTAATTGCACTATATCGAGTATACTGAATGGATGTGTTACGTAGTAGAGCTTCTGTGTATTTGGACCAGAATAAGAACAGTTTTAAAATGGTATTTTTTGTACTGTTCAGCATTGAAATAAAAGAATCTTTGGTGTGCATGCATGAGTTTGTCGGCATGTTTAAGGAAGGTCACTACAAAGTGTAAAAAGTTGCTCGCAGGAAATGGTTGCCGAGCAAAAACATGTGTACCAGACAGACTGCAATTTTAATGTTTGACAGTTCACAGCTAAATTCCTTCAATAGCATATACTTATGTGAAGAAAATTTTCCTCTTGGAAGCTGCCAGATTTTCAGTCTTCAAGGTTTCAAAATAGAGCTCTTGATCTTATTTTTGGGTTGATTTTTTGGTTTCCTTTTAGTGAGAGAGACCACCTGGAACATGACTACATGGAGCTGAAGAAACAACACACATACTTGGACGCAATGTACAAGAACACTTCAAGTGAGAAGGAAGACGTGGCCAAGCAGGCAAGAAATATTACCCACAGCCTGGTGATCAAGGGAGATTGGCATGTTGTCTGATGCAGAGTTTTCAAAAGTTTGTCAGCCTCATTTTGGAGAACTTCTAAAGATTTTATTACTGTACACACCAACAGTTTCTCAATGCGATTTTATTTACAGTTGTCCACAGTGAACCAAGAGCTATCCCTCCTCAGACAAGACAAAGATTACCTGCACAGGCAGCTCAGTGATCTGACTGGCAAGTATAACCACACAGACAGTCGGCTGAGAGACACAGTCACGGACCTGGAGAATGCCAAGAGGGCTCGGGAAGAGCTGTATGAGAAATACGTCGAGTCAAGGTATGGAATTCAGAACAGTCATGAATATCTGATCTGGTCGTCCTGCATACTCCTTTAAAATTATCATAAAAGATACATCTTGCTGTTGCTTGTTGCACAGAGAAAAAACTCCACTTAGAGGAAGAAATTAAAATGGATGATGAGTTTGGGAAAGATTTTGTCCAAGATGTTACTTCTTCCTTATATTTTGTTTCCCCAGGGATCGGTACAAAGCAGAGTATGAGAGCCGATTACGTGAGGAGCTTGAGGCAATAAGACTCCGAACAGATACTGAGGTGGACAAGCTGAAAAAAACCACCAGAGAGATGTTTGAACGAGAGAACAGGTATCTTTGGTCATTTAGCAGATTTTGACCAATGGAATGTTGGACATGGATGGTTTGGACATCAAGCTTGTGAGAGAATCTCCCCCCTCAAAAAACAAAGCTTGAACAATTCATTGGCCTTGAGGGTGTATTGACTGTTCATTTTTCATTGCAATGACTACAGGAGACATTTATGGGAAAAAAAAAATCTCATTGGAAAATTTTGTCAAACTAGGGGATGAACCGAAGTGGCACATTCTTACCCATGCAGCCCAGTGTGCGTAAAATGATGAAGTCTTGCTTTTAATTTTTCAACCAACTGTGAAAATTGACTATGTTTTGCATGGACTGAAGAACGTTACATAGCTAGAGGCAGATTGCAATAACAGGTCTCAATTGGCTAATCTATTATTAAGCAATTAGATTGTCTCCCTCGGCTGGTCTCAGATAAGACAGCCAACCAATACAGTCTGTGCGTGGTAGCTATCTTGCAGGGCATTTAGTTTGTTCCACAGGCAAGCCTCCTTTGTACATACCTTGTGGAAGAAAAGCACTGGCGTCCAAGATGGCAGCCATGCAAACCCTCTATAGCCCACTGCAATAAGCTTGTCTTCAAATAGCATGGTTGCAGAATCGTGGTTATGAGGGAAGTGCTGTTCTTAACATCTGCATATTTGTACTTACTGTAACTCAAGTGCCTCTGCACAAATTCAGTGTATGTCCAAAATGCAGATTTTGTGTTGAGGAAATGTGCATTTATCCAACAACTTGTTGTCGTATGTTTCCAGTGGATTTGATCTATGCATGAATATCCTCTGTTGACACAACGTTGCTCTATTTAACTGGTTAATGACTTCCATTTCAGCAGTGAATACCACAACACCACCAAGATGTTATTTAACACCGGCTAAACACATCATTGCAGTTGTCGCTAATTTATTGACCAACAAACAGAGCACCCTTTAAGTCTGCTTAGTGCAATGATAGCTTGAAGGCTAGTTAGTGCAGTCCGCCAAAGCAGCTTTGTCTATTAGAGGGCATGTCATTAGCTCTGCTGAGTTCTTTTCATTTCTTTCACTAGGAATCTGAGAGAGAATCGCGATGCCGCAATATCAGAGAAGGACAGAGCGGTGGCAGCAGAGAAGGAGTGCAGTGCCAAATATGAGCAACTGCTAGCAGAGTGAGTAAACCAGAATAGATCAGTTAAATTCTACAAGAACATTTCTGCAAAGCAGAAAGGGGTTGTGTCCATATTCCTCAGAGATAGTTGCCACTATAGCGTAGAGGAAGGGAGACAGTGTTGGTTATTTTCACCTGCAAAAACTTGGTGTACCCAGAAAGAGTAGAATTTCAAACTTATTTTCCCCTTTGTAATACGCAGACTTCCTGCTTCATACAAGAGCTTATCGCACAACCTTAGTACAAAAGCTTATGTTACCAGAATGTAAAAGAATGCACAAGAAGTGTGAGCCAGCCTTGTCTAGATCCGTAATGAAACACACAGAAATAGTCCTGTGTGTTCAGCCCTGTGATACAAACAGACCAGGATGTCAATGACCATCCAATGTTGCCTGGATTTAAAGGCTTCTGAAAGACCTCTCAGACACAGGAAACAACTGAAGATCAGACTGTAGGGAAGAAACATCCATATTGCTTACAGCCATTTTGGTAAAAGGAAAAGGATCAACATACAGTCCTTCTAGTTGAAAATCTTAGGCTTGAGAAAAAGATCACTACTGGATTTTTCTAAGTTTGTGCTTTTACTAAAAAGCTAAGCATGAACCTGTAGTCCAAGTCAGGCCTGAGACTAACGAGTTTGAATACGGGTAGAAATATACACTTGAGGTACAGGGAGACTCGGGCAACAGCAGCATGAGGGTGGGATTGCACCCCCTCAAATGAGCAGGACTGACCTTTGTAACATCATATCTGATCAGTTTGCGGCAGCTGCAGATGACATCGGACAGCAAGACCTCTGAGCTCCTTGGGGAGGTCAGGATGCACAAGTTTGAGGCAGAGAGGGCCCACATGCTGCAGGAGGAGGCGTTGCAGAACTTGGACAAGATGCAGGTGGAGCTAGACAAGCTCCGTAAGAAGATTCAGGTAACTTGACCTACTTCCTGTTGATTTTGGTGTGCTGCAAATTTAGATTCTTACTACCGTCACCTGGAAATGACTGCAAAAGGGTTGATTGAACTGAGAGACAAAAAACTCATGGATTTTGCTCAAAGTATAGGTTAAGATGGTTTGTATTAGCATATTGGTTTAAGTTCTTGGTGATATTTTCACTGCTTTTACTCTCAACCTACTGACCTTTAGTGAGTCGTTATTTCCTTACTCTGATTTTGAAGTGGTTTCTAATTATTGGTACTGTATCGTGAGAATTTTATTTCATGAGCAGACTTAAAGCAGAACTTGGTCACTGTAATTTAATATGTACCTTATTTTTCTTGGAGAAAGTGTTCAGTATGAAAGCGCAATGTGTTTTCATTGTTTTCCCCTTCTGTCATGGTTATACTTACTTTTAAGATGCAGTATTCTTTGGAGTTTGCATCAATGAGAAGGTTTTGTCTCCTGGTTTTGTAGCAATGAGTCTGGTCAGAGTAAAACAGTCTAAATGCCAGAATTTACATTTAATGTGTGGTTTCTTTGTTTTCTTGGAAGGTTTTAACCAAGGAGTACTACAGTTTGCAAACCTCCTCAGAGCGCAAGTCAACAGAGCTGGAAGCACAGATCTCCGAGCTGCGTGCCAAGCTGGATATCTACGAGAAACTAGAAAAAGAGCTAGATGACGTTGTCATGCAGGCTGCAGAGAGTAAGCCATTGTCTGAATGGCTTGACTTGGCTTTGAAATTACACATAACTGAATGGGTAGTGGCTGCAGCCTCTGTCATAGACTGCGGTGTACTTTCAAGTCATAGCCAAGTAATTTGGTCACAGAGTAGGTTATTGTCTGAATCGGTTGGCTGTGAGTGGGAGTAACATGCACATGCATTGAAAGTGGCTGTTGCCACTAGTCTACTGGGTTTCCATGGTTATTGAAAATCTTTGAAGATGCTGGAAAAATGTTGTTCTAGAATGTCATGGAAAAGTCATGCAAAATTGTCGTAACCAAAATATTCATTTAGAATTGTCAGTCTAAGGCGCCATCTCTCACACTTATTTCCACACTAGGGCCACAGGGGTTGAAAACATTCCCATCATTAATTGTCTCATCAGAGGTTCTGGATATCCACGACACTGCTTAGCAATGGTCTAAGGGTTAAGCATTGTGATTTCCATGACCAGTGAAGTCTGTTCACAACACCTGTTGAGACGGATGAAAAAAGATGACTATCATTTTTGGGACACTTTATCTCTGGGAAATTGTAAAAATTTGTAGAGGTGATTAAAATCCACGTTAAATTGAGTCTTGCTCATTTCTTTCGTAATCTGGAATGAAGCAGAAGGATTAAAAACTCACACGTGATAGTCAGGGCAATTGGGCTTCAAACCTGAAAAATCCTTAATCCCTTTACTTTTCAATTTCTTTGCTAAGGTGCACAATGACTCTTTCAAAGCTAGTATGTTGCCTATCCTTGTGTATACGTGTATTAAGTTGAACACATCCTCTTGTTGGCTTACAATACACAAGTGAGATTATGCACATCATCAACAGTAATGTGCCCATCATACAATGTTTCCATCATCAAACAGACAAGAAGAAAGCTGCCCTGCTCAATAGATGGAACTGCTCTGTGTCTCGAGGTGACTTTTTGGGATTACTGAAACACATTTTTTTGGGGGGGGGGAATGAGCAAAGTCCATTGATGATCCTTGTTTTTCTCTTGACTTTCAGGTGACAATGACGAGATGGCAGAACGAGTTCTATTTTCGTACGGTTACGGTGCTAACGTGCCATCAACCGCAAAACGAAGACTACAGCACAGGTAGGTTTGTAAGGACAATGTCGTAGACTTCACTTGTATGCAAAATCTGTGCGAGTTGAAAACTTTGTATTTGCCAAGAATGACTTTGTCTTCCATCCTCATCTTTCCCTTCGTCTTTTTCTTAAACAAAGAAATTTCATTGCATTTATTGGGTTTATTTCATTACATTTTTGTTTAATCTTATTTTTGCATTCTGTACTCACTACTCAAGCCAATTAAACCAGTATCAAAATCACTACTTTCATGCAGATAGTCACAAAGTAACGTGTCTTTATGATTTGATCAAAGACATTCTCAATCCTTGAGTGTATCTCGTCATTCCAAAACAGAAGGTACAAGACAGATATACAGGCAGAGTTGTGAACTAAGTGGCTCTGTTGTGTAACTGTAGGCTCTGGTCATAGTTTTATACACTGACAGTTTTAAGCCATACTCTAGTTGGTTGTCTAATTAATCATTTGTCACGTTGGTCAGTGTACATTTGGCAAGACGGGTGCTTCAGCTGGAGAGAATCAACACCTCTCTAAAGAAGGAGCTTGAGAACAACAAGACACAGATGCATCAACTCGGGGAAGAGGTAGGATTGGGGAAGAGTGCAACATTAAACAGGCATTTTTTGCATGCTGTCATCACAGCTGAAACATTCGTGATTTCATGGCCATCCCCAGTACCCTTTTAGTCATAAATCTCAGTAATATCCCACTCGGTCGGGTTTCAGCCCCGAAATCAGATTGTTCTGTGACCCTGGACCTGTCGGAATTGTGTACTTTGGCAATACTGATAAATAACCCTAACTTTTGAAAGATTAAATCCCTGAAGCTGAAACTTTCAGGATTTTATAGACACCCCCAGTACTCTTTGCAGTATAAAATTCAGGATAATCCAAGCCGTTCAGGTTTCACCTCCCCCCCCCAAATTAAATTTTCCATGACCAATACAGCCGTTTCACAATAGTGCGCCACCAAGAGTTTGCAACGCGTTGGCCAATTACAATGTGCGAAATTTGTCGACCCAATGCGCGTTTGGAAATGGTCAACAAATTTCGTGCGTTATGATTGGTCAGCGTTGTTGCAAACTCTTGGTGGCGCACTATTGTGAATTGCCCTTGTTTTCCAATTTTCCATTTTGGCATATGTGTTATTTATGCATAGCTGTCCAGTGCCACATCGCTGTTGGATCAAGCTCAGCAGCCTTACAACTATCTGATTGAGAGCATTCGTAGCAGAGACCACCAGATAAATAAGCACAAGACCCACATCACTGCTCTGGAGGAGGATATTGGGTAGGTTCACGATAAGATGACCACATGTTCAGGAAAGAAAGATGACTTAACCATCTTGAGTTTACCTGTTGTGACCCAGGATCATTCTAGGACCTTCAGTATGGTAACCGCGCCTATTGTGAAAAGGGGCGGTGCATTTTGCCGTTAGCTAAAAATGGGTTAGCACTGTGGGAGACTTTTTAGACTCGGTGGCGGAAGACATACCAGTCCCACATGACTTCAGTCCAGTATTGTTTGGGTCATTCTGAGCATGCACATTATTATCTCAACCATGATGCAAACGGTAGAAAATGACCAGCATCTCAACGTCTGACGTTGAAAATCAGTAAGATTTAGAACCCTCTCTTAATAAACAGCCTCAGTTGCTAAACAGCCTCAGTCTGTTTCACAGAGACCTCGGATGCAGAAAAGCAAGTTCACTCCCTTAAGAAAGAACTTGCTCAAATCAGTGATGTTATCCACCCCGAGCTGAAGTACACCCCAATCAGCAAAAAGAAAGACAGGTGGTTACAAGCGGGTTCTTGCGCACGTTTTGCGTGTACGCAAAGACCATACATGCCGGAATAAATTAGTTACGCGTACTCAGCATGCTCTGTGTCAAATGTGCATAGACTTGCGCGCCTCATGGAGGGCCTATGCAGTGAGTACCAAAAAACACACCCTCTTTTGTTCCACACGGAGCGGATAATGGAGATCTCCATGTGTGTGCGGCAGTTAGCACACCAACACCATTTAACAGCGCTTCAGCAACCTTGTATTCTGCTGTGGTCTGCACACCTTTTTTTAAGCAGTTCTGTTACTTTGCCCCTGGAGTCAAAATTTCGCTGGTGAGCTGGAAAGTCATATTGGAGTCTGTATTTCCTTTTTTTTTCCTGAACAATCTTGCAGACGGTTAAAGAAGGAGCAAGAGGAGTTGATTCAGACAAGGAATCAGATGTCTGCTGATCTAGAAAGACTTCTCAATCAAAGAGAGGTATTGTAAAAATCAGCCTTTTCTTCCTTTTGCCCCTCACAAGAAGATTGTAGGGAGGATGAACGCACCCTTGCTAATGATGATTGCATTGCTTTATTTTGTCTGATCTTGATGCACCGTCTTATGTCTTTAATTAGCCACGATTGATATTCATTTCTCCAGGAAATGGCCGTCATGAAGCAGGTAGTTTTAAACCTGAGCCAGCGCTACCAACCCAAGGCCACTGGCTCACATCCTGGCCCAGTGCACATTGAGAAAGTGCCAAACCAAGCTAAGATGCACCCATTCACTGACAAAAAGACAGCACCCAAACTAACGAAGTCACCCAGAGCTGAAGCTTACAGACCAGCTCCAACTATCTTTGTGAGTAAAAGTATCCACAAAATCATGTGGAAATAAGCTTTATCAATGTGCCAACAACTCCGTTCCTCTTGTTTGTTCGGTCTTTTTGTTTTTCGAGATGCGTTCTTGCTGTAAACCAGTATGTCCATAGTGCAGATTTTTTTCAAGCGGCCAGCATGTGTACAAGCATCACCACATAGGAACTGTAGTACCATTTTCCAGCTCTTCATCTCTCTACTCAAGCTTACTCTCAAGCTCTCCAGAATCATTTTCCAGTGTTTAGTGTCAGAAATAGACAAAAGTACTCCAATAATCAAACTACACTGGACAGCAAAAGAAACTTGCCACTTCTGTCAAAGGCCACACATAAAAATTCACTCCATAGAAATAAACAATTTTTGTACACAGGTATGCTGCAACACCCCTTACTAATCACATGCCCAAAAGCAAGTGATTATCTTTATAACAAAGAAGAAATTGACATGCACAGCAACTTGGTTACTGAATCAAAAGTCATGACTGTTATTATTCCTGACTGAATTAATAGGTAAAGTTTTGTGTCATATAATTCACTCCTTATTCATTTGATTACAAAAATATATGTGAAGAGATTTTAGTAATCCCTTCCAAGTTTTACGGGGATAGTCACGTTGTATGTTCAGTAACCGATAAATGTCAAGCCTTGGAGCTTCCAGTAATTATTTTTTTCAAATTTTACTCTCTCTCTCTGCCTGGTTCCCAGACCTCAAAGGATCCGCCGCAATGGTACAGTAAGCTGAAAGAGCAGAACGCATCCCAGAGAAGTCGCTACTCAACAGTCTACTCAACTGGGACATAATGCTCTACACACAGTGACCCATACTGCCTGAGCCCCCCTCCCATATTTCTCAATACATGAGTTCAACAGGCCAATCTATTGATGAAGTCACACTTCGTTTGCATTTATGCCGTCCTGTGGAGCTTCAAATCTGCCATCCTCGCCTGGCTCCAATAGGAAAGCACACATGTAAACCAAACGTATCATAAGTGCACTGGCTATTCTAAGGAATGCCAAGGCTTACCCTAAGTAGCCGGGTGCAACAGGGTTGGGGTTATGATTGTTCCCCCCCCCCATGTCTAAAACCCTCTCTAATCCTACTGATGCTTGGGTCCTTTCCTGCCTTAATACCGCATATTGTCTGACCCCCTGTCCACAGGCAGTCCTTTCTTTGAGGATCCTGCTAATGCATAGCATGTGGATGTCTTCACCTGCCAAAATTGGCAAGAATTTCATATTTTTTCATCTACTTCCTGCCAAAAATGACTCCTCGATCTTGCTGTGTAAAAGGAAGACTTCTCGAGGCTTCACAGGTGTCTCTGGACTCATGCACACCTTGTAAGAAGTTAAAAATTAAGGTCAGCTGTACAAAATTCCCAGAAGTAAGGATTGCCTGTCCAATAAAATTTGAATAAAAAAAAATTAAATGAAATTTTTTATGATCCAAATTGCTGACTTGAATTGATGTGTAATGTTTAAGTGCTTAAAGTTTGAATTGTTGCCCTATAGTTTGCAGGAAATGCTTTCATTTCCTGCTATTGTCTTCTGCGATACCACTATTGGTAAAGTTGAAATACAAGACATAAAATCACTACACCCCCCTTTCCTCATAGCCTGAGACCCACCCCTGAAAGGTAACTTTGTTGTTGGATGAAAGTTACAAACACTTTGCCATTCAACTACTTGACCAGCATGGTCAAAACACTCCGGCAGTCAATGTCATAATGCATCTTTTGCACTTCATGGTGATTACTTACCAATTACGGCTTGCATGCCAATTGGTGTCTGTCTCTTTGTGTTGCCAAGAGATGCAGTACATCAGGAGTTCAAAACTTTGAAATAATTGAGTAATTTTCTACAAGTTGCTCAAAACAAGCCATTAAAAAAAATACTTTAAACAGATGTTAATGACAAAAGATATACTAAGTTAAGGTAATGCGATAAAAAGGCAAAGGTTCTTTCCTCGCTTTGCACCAATGAGGCCCGGGTTTGAGTCCCGGCTTGGCCCAGGCTTTAAGCGCATTTGGTTTCCAGTCCATACTCGCTCTCGCAGGTTTTGTCTGGGTACTCTGGTTTCCTCCTGCCTCTAAAAGTGGACCTTCTTCCCTTCCTAGCTCCGTAATGTGATGCTGATTAATAAAGTGTATGAATAGACGTACAGTTATTGGCGCAAATAGCCTGAGTTGCTGAAAGCACCATTGAAACAAAACAACAACATTCCTCCTTTACTTCTCTTATATTCTTTCCTGGACCATCCTTATAAGGAATAGGATTCTCAGGGACATAAGGCAAACCAGGAGCCGAACTTAGATGGCCATTTCAACTTATTGTTGAGAAAAGAAGTCTACTGATGCTGCAACATGCCACTTTTTTTCTTTCAGAAGTATATTTGTTAGATCTGGAATTCACCCAGTGATTGGCAGCTATCATTTTATTATTTTTTTTAAATTGTAAATATTTCACAAAGGCCCCGAAAATTGAGACATCCCAGCCCCCAAAATCATGGGTTTTATACTCCTTTAATTTTAAAACTTGAGGAGCTGTTGACAGCAATTTCCATCATTGTAGTTTTCAAGAGAATTGTTGTGATTCCATTTGTGATTTCCTCAGTATTTTTGTTGTTTCCAAATAGAATCCAGAAATCTCACGTTTACATTGAATTCGGGCATTCTTTCAATTGTGTATAACATGAAATATGCCATTTGTTTTATTTGAATATATATTGATTTTAAAGCAATCCTTGTTTCTTATGAGTTTTCCTTATTTCAAGCAGTCTTTGTGTTTTTGTGCGTTTGGAATGTGAACAGGAGTATCTCCTGAAATTAGAGTTGAGATTGCTAAAATTAGAGTTGAGATTGCTAAAATTAGAGTTGACTTTCAGTTTGAGTCACTTTAGGGATTTGGGAATATATGATTTTTAAATGTAGTTTTAGTGAAACCATAAATAATTCCAATTTCATAGCAGGAATAAGGGTTTCCATCACAAAATTTATTGGGGGGGAATTGTGCGGAGAGGACAGTAATTTGGACTTTCACGTTACCTTTGTCTGTCTAGGGGGAAGGCTACATTTGGGAGTTTTTCCACACTTTATAAGGAAGCATATAATAGACCAAGCAAATCACCCATTTTTATTGACTGTCCAATGGGGAATAGTGCTAAAGAAACAATTTCTATTGAAAACGTCAACAGGTTTTATATTCATATCTTTTTATATAATCCAATTAATTGTGTATACACATACACAGCATAATTGTTGGAATTCACATTTTCCTTCAACACATCGACCCATATCAACAGATGATCGACACAAATAGGGACGCCTCAGGCTCGAATCCAGAGGGGATGGAGTTTACGGATCATCCGCCACTGCAGTGAAGCCCTCCCCCCCTAAATTAAACAATGAAATATCAATTTAAAGTAATAAAAAATGACATCCCATAATAAAGGTTATTAATTGTAAATCAGTTACAATGTAATGCACTACCTATGTGTCCACCTGTCTGCAACAATCGGACCCCCAACCCCCAAAAAATCTGACGGACATACCCCCCCCCCCCTTAAAATTCCTGGATCCGCCCGTGTAGATTTTGTTTTGATCCTGGGCAGAGCCCTTTGTAAAACTAACCGCAGAGGGCGCTATTTAGTATGCTGTTATGCACACTTGACGTGTAATAACGTAAATGTACATGTTTACATCATGATCAAACGTGTCTTGTGTTGACGTGGCCAACTGCCCCCTGTTTGAATTTTAAGTTTCTCGATTGTTAGTAATCATTTGAGTGAGAGGTGAGTGTACAGCTCGTTTTTATTAAACTGTTAGGAACCATTTAATCGTTATCCCCAAGATTTGAGACCCAACAATGTTGCCGGCTGGGAAACTTGCATTACTCATTTAAGTTATTAAACGCTTTCATCACATCAGTCACAGTGGTCATCAGATAGGCCTACCCACAGAACTATGGGGTCCGACGTCCACCCTGCTCCCACGGGGCGGACGTCGGACCCTACACTGTTCTTGGGGTAGTCATTAGACATGTTAGCCATTTGTGATGACCATGAACATGGTGAAGGGGAACCTGGTGGAACCACAGGGCCAGGGTTACAAATTTCTCAAATCACAGGTCTCGTTTGAGGATAGACCCATAATTTGTAAACAGGGCCCAACGAATACTCCTCCGTTGTATACTGGACCCTGTCCTGATTCATAGGGATTTCTTTCGAAAACTTTATCTGGGACATCCGGGGGCATAACTAAATATCCGCTTAATTTTATGAGCTGAAACTGCACCGCTATGTTCACTACTTACGGTTTACACATCCGCTAGGTTGTTAATTGTAGAAAACTCTCCTTTTCCTCGTTTGGCGATGTTTGGAAGAAGAAATGTTGCCTTTTTTACCATTTTCCCACTCCGTACAAATTTTTGCCTGATTTGTACATTACACAGACTCCTTTGTATGGTCAAGTATTGGTACCCTGTACGAGAGCCTGTCTAGTTTGCACCCAGACTTCAGCACCCACGGATCTCATTCAGATCTGCGAGAGTACCTGTTGATCTAAGTACTCATGGAAAATTACGGCTGTTTTGTGTCACAGCTAATACACAATGCCCTTGGCTGGTTCCCTGTCCAGTCACGCACTGTTTGCAGCAAATCGTTAATAGCTTGGCTTGCTCTCTGTAACAAAACACAAAAGTGACGAAACAGCCATCGCTATTGTGCAAGTGGGGCAAACTTTGTCCGGAATGGGAAAACGGCCAAAAAGGCTACATTTTTTTCCTCATATGAGGAAAAAATGAGTTTTCTACAATTAACAACCTAGCGGATGGTTTACACCGTAAGTAGTGAACATATGGGTGCAATTTCAGCTCATAAAATCAAGCGGATATTTAATTATTCTCCCTGGATATCCTGGATAACGTTTTCGAAAGAAAATCCCCATGAATTGGGACAGGGCCCAGTATACGTAGGAGGATTATTCATCGGGCCCTGTTTACGGGTCTAGTTTGAGGAAGACATTGGCTTACAGTAATGATTATTGGATCAGAAAGAGTTCCATTTTCCCAGAACTGTGGGCTGGGTATGTTGTTTAGGATGGGAGTGCAGCGAATGATGAACCCCATACACAGTTCTGGATAGGCGTACAATCTACATGTAAGAGTTCCATTCCTTAAATCGGTTTATCAGTCATCAGAAAGCCACACCATGCATGACATGTCCTGAAAGGCAAAACTAACAGGAAAAATGCTGAAACATTTACCTCCAAAAAGTTCAGAATTATTCAGACCAGTCTTGAATACATTGTGCACAGCGTATTCAGTGATGAGTGATGATCATGTATGGAACTCTTTCCGTTTTTTTTTTTCCATTTCTTTTCTTGAAGCAATTTCATGTAAAAAACACTGTTTGGAACCAATTTACAAATTTTGTAAAGAAGTTGCGTGAAACTGGGATGTTTCTGACTGTGATGCAGACCGCTGCTTGCCCGTGTTCTCGTGGTCAGTGGTCATGCATTATTCATGCATTGAACTGTTCCATCCACAGATCATACAAAGTCAGCATGGCAGACAGTGATAATGACAGTTTCCACAGCGCAGGTGAAGAAGACGCTCCTCCACTTCCGCGGAAGTCTGGAGGAGACTCATTAACACGGACACCACCATCAGCGGGTTCCTCACACGGTGCATCCACCAAGAAAGAGGCCAGAAACACTGGGAAGTCCAGTGCCAAAAAGGCAAAAGGCAAGAAGGGGAAAAAGAAAAATGCTGCTGTGCTGGATGAGAAAGGAGACAACTCTGAGGAATTGAAAGGAAACATACCACTGGAAGAACCTGTTGGAGGCCAGCAACAAACCAAGGTGCTGCCACACTCTGACGTGCAAGAAGTAGGTCAAAAGCCAACAGCTGCAGATTCCAAAGTGGCCTCTGGTGCTGAGAGTGAACTTGGACTGGATGAGCCCGAAAGAGAAACCTGGCTTGTAAAAGAGCCAGAACACAGGCCAGAGGGCAAAGATTTGAAGGAGCAAGATGAATTGTCTCCAATTAGGGAAGACAGTCAACTCAAGAATGAGCGTGCAGAAAACACTGGAGATGCTGAAGCAAAAACTAAATCTCAGGTCCCACAAGAAGGGGAGGAAATCACGCATCCCGAAGAAGACAGGGAGCAACTTTTAGGAACGGGCACTAAGATGGAGCAGGATGCTATCAAAGATGAACCATCAAAAACCGGGAAACAGATAGGTGAAAGTGCATCATCAGCCTCGTCTAAGCCAGGAGATTGTGCCACAGAAGCTGAGGCATCAGTCACAGAGAAAAGTGCTGCTGGGGCCCTCGGCAGGTTGACAGGGGAGAAGCCAGCAGAGAAGAAATCCAGTGGAGGCAGCTGGGGTTGGGGAGGATGGGGTGCATCCCTGGTCTCCTCGGTGTCTGCCGTAGGTAGGTCATCATTCAGGTTGGCGTCCAGAACAGTAGTCATATAAATCATCATATGCCCTACGTACGTTGAATTGTGCAATTGGGGATGAGGTTCTGCAGTGGTAATAAAAACCATCGAAAGATAACCACAAATAAACGAAGGTTGATCTTGTTGAGTGATATTGCTATACTCGTCATTTTTGCACACCATACAATCAATACGAAACATACTTCCAGCTCCTAATTTCAGTACTGTAAGGTCTTTTTTTAATGAACCTTACATTTCTGGAAGTACATGTATCTAGCTCCTTTGCCTCATGTATACCAGATGCAAGTTTGTCAAATTTTAGGGTGTAAACCAACCTTGCGTTTACACTCGTTCATTGCAAGATTAGAAGGAAGGATCAAGTCCAGGTCAGACCCTGATCAACCTTGTGTTCACGCTTACCGGCAATCCTCCTTGATTCTCCCTTGCAGGATCAAACCCCCTTGATTCCCCCTTGCAGGATCAAACCCCCTTGATTCCCCCTTGCAGGATCAAACCCCCTTGATTCCCCCTTGCAGGATCAAACCCCCTTGATTCCCCCTTGCAGGATCCCCCTGTAAGCGTGGTCTTTGTGCATCCACTGCTTCTTTTGGGCTGACCTGTGAGCAACTTTTGCTTGACCCAGTTACAACTTTAATGTCCAGGGCAGATGAAATCTGACAGTTGACTTTCTTAAGATTTCTGGGGGGACCTCTGAGAACAAGAAATGTTTTAAAAATGGTTTTTCTTCAATTTATTGACAAACCACCCCAGAGCCTCCAGAATTCACCAAGAGGATTTGGGAGGTTTTTACATGTAGGACGATAGAGATGAGCCGAATTTACTTTGCATCGGGCTTGATGCCCCTTGAAGTGTTCCCGGTTCCCTACGCAACAGTGGATTTTGCTGGCTTAGGAACGGTCCAAACCAAGACACTAGAGGGACTTGGATTTGATATGTGACTTTACCCTCATTTACTTTGTAAATTGTAATCAGTATAATGCACACCTTAACATTTAATGACCATGAACAACCTGTGTACCAAATTACAAGAGCGCTAACTCATTCCATGCAAGGAGAAGTTTAGACACCTCCTGGGTGCCGACATCTTCAACTTATGCACATATTTTTAGAACTTGATGAAATCAGACTGAACGAATTTTGAATGATGTTGTCAAAATGCAATGTACAAGTACACCATTCCCCTGATTCCTGTCATTCGATGTGGTATCTTCAGCATTTATGCACACATTTCTCGCATTGAGCGAAACTATTTACTGATTGTGCGTTTAGGTTTTTGGTGTACCAGCTTCATTGATGCAACATTTTAGAATACAGATGCAGATGTACAGAAAGCTTTCCACAAATTTTGTACAAAATTTTTCCATAGGTTTATGTACAAATATGGATGTGTCCAGCAGGCTTCACTTGGCACAGCAAGTTAGCACTCTAGTAATTAGATGTAGCTCTGTGGTTCAACCACAAGACACCCCTGACATTAAAATCTAAGCTAGTGTGGTGCATTTCCCAACAGGTCACGGCTTGAGCTCTGTCATCGAGAACGTCGAATCTTCCCTCGGGCTGCCCAAGCCGCAAGAGCTCACCGACCAAGAAAAGAGAGAGCAGCAGTTCATTGTGACTTCCGACGAACAAGGAGACGGGAAAGAGGGCGAAAAAGAAGATGGAGACCAGCGCGAGGAGACGAGGGATCCAGGAAAAGGAGAAGAGATGGAAAGAGATGGGGACAGACAACAGGAAGAGGAAGGAGAGAACAAAGACCTAGAGCAAGGTAATTTGTCTCAAGAAAACAGCCAATGCAGTTGGACTTTTCTTGCTTGTTATCATGTAATGAAGTCATCCTAGTACAAACTTTTATCACAAGCATTTTTTGCAACGATCACAACTCAAGGCTGTCAAATGTTCTACCGATACTTTGCTTTCCACCTTCACTTTTTGTTGTTAACAGTCCTGATATTTGCCAATATGACATGATTAATTTTTGTAATTACGGGTTTTGCCCTTACTTGAGGTATTTATATTCGTTAACACTGTATACTCAGTGCTTGATGTATGAACTTGATGCATGAAGATATGTCAGGTAAGGGCAAAACCTGAAGTTACAAAAATTAAAGAGCACCTCTAAGGAAAACATGTTTTCTCTGAAAGCGTCCAAATCCAACACAGTGTCATTTGTCTTCAATGGTCAACTATAACAAGTTAAAAAGGGCTTTTTTCTGTTTGACATTGCATGTAGCCATTATTTGTAGCCATTGTTTGGCATGCACGGATTGAAGGATTTATCCACTAAGAACACAGGGCGAGAGTTCCCTCAGTTTCTCTGTTTTCTCAGAATGACGCAATCTACTTTTAGCATGTTCAGAATTCGCATCTTGGCATGAACAGAAAAAAAAGCCCTTTTTAGCTTGTTATAGTTGAGCTCTGAAGACAAGTAACACTGCGTTCGATTTGGATGCTTCCCTATTTATTTGAACAGATAAAATCAGAGAAAACAGGGTTTCCTTTGAGTTGTTCTTGAACATCTTTCTGACGCAAAGTACATCTTGAAACGTGACATGAGTTGACATGGCCTGTACTTAAGGCAGCATCTGACCAAGAACTTTAGAAAGGGTCATTTTGTTAATGAGTATGTAAATATTGGGTCTGCTTTTCTTGTAGACCCCAAGGATCAGTCGTCCATTCCCTCCAGCATGAAGGGATTTCTGTCTTTGGGAGCCTCTGCAATCACTAACGTTGTGGGCAAGACAGTCACGGGCGGCCTGGATGCACTGGAGACGATTGGTCGCAAGACCATGGACGTCCTTCAGGAGGGAGATTACAGCGTGACAGACAGAGGGACAGAACAGAAAGGCAGCTTGGCTGAGGTAGGCTGGAACTGACAATTACTGCCTCTGCCTGCATTACTTTCATCCGTTTTTTATTTTGCTGTAGGGTTTTAACCCTAAAAGTGCCAAACTGTTTCAAACTATCTCACAGTCGTTTTAATTTTCATAACGTTGGTGTCAAAATGAGTATCAGACACATAAGACCCTACTAGAAAAACTCGTGAAGACATGATGCTAGCAAAATTCTGGAATTATAAGTATCTTTATAATTGATATACCATATGTGGTACTTTGTGTTGGCCATATGAAAGATCTTTGAAGGTACTTCGGAAAGCAGAATAACTACATTGGAACCTTTTCAATAGGATACTTGGATAATCTGTAGGCTGATGTATCATAGTTTGTGACATGGTTAAATCAAGGCTACTCAGTGCAGTGAAGAACGTGTGCCTCGATGCATCATCTATTCTGTGAATTTCATGTGTACATGCATCCATGAAAAGGATGCGGGAATGATTAAGGTTGTGTGTTATATTCATGAAGATGTACATTTTGTTCATAGAAAACTCAGTGTTTCAGAAAGCCTTTCACAGGTTTAAGTTTTGCTTTGATATTTAGGAAAACAGCATCTCTTTACATCAGATTGATTGTGTAAACTTGGTTTGCTTCAGATGTTAAGAGATGCCAAGGAGGAGGCGGAGACTGCTGCCAAAGAGGAGGAGGAAGAAAAGGAAAGGCAGAGGGCGCACTTTGGAATTCTGTTTGATCAGTACCAAGGTGAGACCGAACAAAGCTGTCATGCTACACCCTTGTGTGAATATCTGATACAGAATGTTGGATATGTTTTCTTGTACAGTGAAATCTTGATAAGTCGAAGCCCATTAAGTCGAAACTCCGTTTACCTCGACGTCTTTCTGTATTCCCGACAAAAGAATAGGCCTATATGTACAATAAACTATCCGTAACTCGAAACGTCAATACCACTAAAGCCGCCTGTCTCAAAGTTTTAAAAAACAACTGAAGAATGATGAATAAAAAGTGATAAAAGAACACTTGCCTTCATTATGAGTCATTACTGTCACGCGCACGACTTTTCTTTGATGAGCCAAGCATGTTCACTCGGGCTGCCATTGTCACGTCGACAAGCACTGGGTGGGCATCAACAGCAACCGTAAAATAAATCAGGCACAAATGATGCGCTTTGTACATGTATCACATGACCAGCACGGAAACCGTGACCGACTGGCCCGCGCACTGCGTTATGCCGTAACAGCCCGATCAAGCAAAGCAAATGAATGAATTCTCAAGACGTAGACACAGGTACCGGTACATAACTTCATTGGTTTATTGTTTATTAATGTACCACATAAAAACATGTTTAATGGTGATGTTTGAGGAAAACTTTCACAGTAGGTATAGCCTAAAATCCATTTCGTGTTCGACTCAGCTTGCAGGCCAACTGCCCTAAGCCAGTAAGGTTGCATGCATGTGCACTGAAGCGAGTAACTTTCGATAACTCGAACGTCGGATAACTCCAACTTTTCGTCCATTCCCCTGAGCTTCAACTTATCGAGATTTTACTGTATATGTATGTTTTCTTGTGTTGTATTTTATAAGATTTTTATGTAGGATCCCTTAGCTATAACCACTTCATGCTGGGTGGAGTTAGCAGCATGCAGGACCTGCTGCCAGGCGATTTTTCATGATTTTCCGGTTTCAAAATTCTTCAAAAATGCCTATTTTTCTTTACTGGACACATACACACAAACAAATGATTGCCTTGTTGCGAGTCTCATCCGACAGGCAACCTCCACTGACATGAGTATTGCAGCCATGCCTGCAGCCTAGTAAAGAGCCCCATTGTGCTGTCTTGCGTAATTTCCTCCCTGTTCCCGAAATTGGCCTAATGCGTTGCTGGACGGTGGTGTTGTCTTTACTAATGCAGCCAGATTCCATGAGCATGCAGCGGTATTGTATCGCTCATCGCTGGAGTGCTGGAGCGCTTTTGTCCCCGCTGATAATCTGCGGGTGCTGGCAGCAGCAAACAATGGTACTGTTTCAAAACAAACACAAATTACCTCCACTAATGCCAGCACTCTACGCTGATGGCATATGAGCCTTGATTGGCAAGTCCCAGCAGCTCAGTCTTTTGTTACGAGTTTGGTCACCCTGCTCATGAATCAAGACCCAGTTCCAAAGTTCTGATTTCAGGCACCCGGCCATGAATATATGGCCAAGGTCTCCGGTACCAGGAGCCCCAGCAGCGAGTGGATAACGGAATAAACTTTATTTGCAAAGTTTTATGGCTCTTTTTGCATCATGGTGCCAGGGGCTTTTTTCATACATAGCAAACAAAACTTTTAAAAGTCTCAACGTTCAGATATTGCACACATGTTGTCACTGTTGCTAGTGAGTCTCCATCTTCATTGCACCTAACCTAATGCAGGTCTAGCTCACTTGGAAGCTCTGGAAATGATCAGCAACCAGAGCGAGAGCAAAGTTCAGGGGTCACTGAGCATGGTCAGCGGTGAGGACCTGCAGAGTCTGAAGACTGAACTAATTGAGATCAGGGACGCTTTTCAACTGGAGGATTTAGAGTCGGAGGAGCAACCTGGTAGGTTTGCACAATAAGAATACATTCTAAGTATAATTCAAGTGCTTAAGATCTAGTAACTTTCATCTTTTTAGACTTCAAAGCTACCCAGTGATGCTGCTTCAACTTAAATGTACCTGTGTGTGGTTAAATCCAGCTGCTAAAACATGGAAATGCGTAAATTGTTTTCAAAGAGAACAGGAAAGTTCTTTTGGGGCTCAAGAAAAAACAAATTTTTTCAAAATTTGTGTTGGAAATGCTTAGTTTTGTTTGATATATCGGTGTACAAGCTACTGAGCCATGCAGTGGATGTGTATCCCAACTTCCTGAACTCTACGCTTAAACAACTCCAGCAGTACCCATGCCACTCCCAAAGCAGTGTTGTCTTCACAAGTCCCTCAACAAGTCCAATCACAAGTCCAGTCACGAGTCCTTTCACAAGGTCAGTCTTAGGCATGAGGGTGAACAGTGACAAAAGAATGCTGTTTTCACAGCTCATTTGAAAAGCTTGTGAATTGGCTTAAGACTGATTGACTTGTGATGGACTCAAACATGACTCTGTCCTACAGTTTCCTGATGACAAACAGAGCAGACCGTTTGGAAAATCAAACCTTTTCACATCACCAGCTCTTATCAGAGCCAGTAGATCTTTCTGCATTCCTTCCATGGTGTACCCACAAACGCTGCCTCCTTACATGCTACTCCGATCTGCAAAGCTTCAAACAGCACTCATGTAATATTCTTCATCACATTTTCCTGTTTCCATTAGCAAACCACCTGAATGTTGAGAGTTTCAATACTTTGTTTTTGTTTTCCAAACTTGTTATCTGTTACAGAAGGCAGTGAGCAGGATTTTGTGAATGCCATCACAGAGCATCTGTTTGGTGTAAGCTTAGCATCAACTCCTGATAAACTGCAACGGGTAAGATTCATTGGACCTTCAAGAAAACAGTTGTGGTGCCGCATCTTTTTGAGATAGGGTTACACTTTATAACTTGACTGTCAGTTTAACACAGAATCACAGTCATTTTCAGAAAAACTGGCAAACCAGTGTCTTTGTGATTCCTTCAGTTGGGTAATTTAAAACCCACTGGACGGCCATAATTTTGGGGATGCGTCATGGGTTTGGGGGTTCAGATTCAATCAGCTGGTGACATGTTGTGATCTTGGGCAAGCAACTTCACCCCTTGTGCGACTCTCTCTACCCCTGAGTCTAGGAGGGTATCCTCAAGGGCAGTGATGGCTGTGTTTAACCCTCTGCTCTCTAGGGAGCTAAGGTTGTCTTAAGAATGTTCAGGTGTTATGAGCTGGATAAACAGACTTAATTAAAAAAAATCAGTGTCTTTGAATGGCAAATGACAGATACTGTGCACCTATATGCTGTGCTGTGGTTACTCTGCCTATTGCCATTTTTAATTTCTTAATTTCTTCTGTCAGGTTCAGAGGCGGGTCCACGAATGGCTAGCAGAATGCAAGTCACAACAAGAAGCCGGCCAGAAGCAGAATATCACAGTCAGTGGGGGACGTGGGGAGTGCCAGTTCAGGCTTAGAGATAATTTTGATTAAAATCTCATGGGAGAGTTAATGAGGAAGAATGTTACAAATTTGAATGGATGAATTTGACATCTCCGGGCATTTTGGCCATTTTGACTGCATGGTCAGTTCTATTCATCTCAACGTTTTAAAGTGACCGAATTGGAAGTAACTGCTGTGTAAAACATAAGCAGCCATCATCAAAGGACAGTTGTCTAGAATCCAGTTGATCGCTGCTTTCAGTATTTGCAGTGGTAACTTCTGAAAGTGGAGGCAGATACAAAAGTGGTGATCGACAGAGCAGTGTACCACCCATGTTAATGAAATCGTATCGTATGCTAGCAATTAATGCAGTTTCATGTTCCGAAAACCAGCATGAGTCCTTGTCACAGAGCTGTTACTAAGCATAGCAAGGAAAGTCGCTTTAGCAGCATGACTGTGGTATTCTCAAACGCATTGTAGAGTGTGAACTCATGGTCACTGGCTCTGCCCTTGAAGTTAGGATTTTCTTTGCTGTGCTAACTGCCTACCATCATCAGCCATTAGGACAGCCATTGTCAAATGGCAACTTTATAGCTTCTTTCAGTGTTCATAGTGGTTATGCGAAAGTCAAATTGAATTTAATGTCAAAACTAAACTGGTCAAGATCTACAACTGAAAGAAAAGTTGTGGCTCTGAAAAATACGCTCATGAGAAATTCTCTCAAACTAACCACAGGAACTGCACATCAAGGCTATCGAGACACTTGCCGAGTTTTCATCGAGAGTGATTGAGCAGTTCCACAAGGCATGTGAGCTGATGCTCTTGCCACAAGACAAGGAACACAGCAAGAGTCCGGTAGAACGAGCCACCAGTCTCTCCAAGTAAGTACATCTGACCATGGCCTTGTGAGTTTGCAATCTGTCTCTACTTCACGGTATCTTCATAAGTGAAATCTACCTGAGACTCCAGCTAAATGTAACAAAAATTTCCACCATACAAAGGGGCTGGTTGGCACAGTGCACTCTGTGACACATAAGCAAACAAAAAAAGTCAGTTTTTAATAAAAATCTCTCAACATGAGAGAGTTAATGAGCTTGAAAATCGCAAGGTGAAGAGCAAGTGTCAAGTTGCATACAAGTTTTGAAATAGCACTTCACTCTCAGATGACACGCCCAAATTTGTAGATAGTTAAGAATATAGGTAAATGAAACCCAATGGGGAGACGTGTTGATTCAATAATATACACAGCTTGATTCATCAACTTTTGACCACTATGAAGAGAGAATGTTAAAATTACCCAACAGATTCTTCTGCCAGTTTTTTAAGATGAAGAGAATCTTTGTCAAGTTGAACCACATTATACTTGATTGTGCCCTATAGTTCCATTCCACAGAGAGTCACTTCTTTGAATATAACCACCTTTCTGATGACTTTGATGTCATTTCCTTCAAAAATGTTCTTCTCTTCATCTTTTTTTTCTCCCCAGATTGACGAGTGTCCTTGTCACTGAGGTCAGTAACCAGGCTTGTAAGTTTGCTGACTGCCTTAACCAAGAAGCGAGAGACCGTGAAGATGGAGAAGGGGCAGCTGATGTCAACCCACTCATAACCAACGTCTACTTAGAGGTCAGTGTGTGCATTCTAAATGTCATTTTTATTTCATTTTTTGTCTTGTTTTTGTTGCAGCCTACTGCTATTTTAAGCTCAAACTTGTATGTGTTGTGGCAAGAGAAATTGGATGCCAAAGATCTAAAGATTGAAATAAAATGATCTCTTCCACTCTTAATCCTTCTATCTCATACACTGAATGGCAACAGACACTTTTTTGGAAGTCACTGAATGCAGTTTATACTCTGACTTCAATTACAGAAAGTTGAACATACTTCAGTTTCTGCAAATTTTGTGCATTTAGCTCATAGGAATGAGATTGGCATCTGATTAAGAGATTACTTATGTGAATGTGAACAGTTCACTTCCCAAAACCATGCACTCTCATCCTGGTAGTAAACTGAGATTTCACCTCATTATTTTGAAACCTTTAGAGTGCTTTAGATCGAGAAAAACTGTAACTTGGGACAAAGCAACAAAATAGGAAAATATTTGATTGTTGAGATTAAGTTCTTTCAATATTTGGTCTCATCTGAATATTATTCTCCAGTTCTAGGAACTGCCCAGTTGTCAGGCAGGCAACCTTTCCTCTCATCATCTGATGTCTTTTTTTTTTCAGTTCTCCCGTTTACATTATACCTTTCCTTTTTTTAAATTTGTAGTTGTAAGCCTTGGTTTCGCCACAGGCACTGAATTTTTGTCAATACATTTGACTGGTTTTTCCCTCCCTTCTTTTTTCAAAGTTCCCTTGTTACTCTCTGCATTTATACCCGCCTCTTGTGTCAGCAATTTCTTCAAAAGAGCTACAGCTTGTACGTATAGTTAAAAGATTCCTTGTGTTTTGCCTGATTAACTCCCACCAGGCCTCTAACAGCACATCCTACATCCAAGATGCATTTCAGCTTGTGCTGCCCGTGCTACAGATGGTTGCCATAGAAAAGAAGAAAGATTCCAAATCTGAAACCACATGAAACTGATGTGACAAGCCATCCAACTCCAAACATTTCCATCAAGTAAGCTTTCCACCATTCTCATACTTGTTGGGTCAAATGAATGGGCTGCAAATGAAATGACCGTACTTTATAACCTTACTCCTCACGCCGGCCACTTGTGACTCAGGAGGGCCTAATTTCTTTGAAAAGGTAATCAAGAGACGTGGCAAGAATTAATGAATGCAATAAAAACCAAACCAAGCAAAATGCACAAAGAAAAACAAGGGGAGAGGCTGTTATTCAGAGCAAAACCTCTGTCTTCTTGTCAGACATCTCTGCTAACTCGGCACTGGAAAAGAACAATACAACTTCTTCAAAAATACCTTATTTGATAAGGGTCGTTCTTCAAATGTGGGATCCAGTGTTCTTGTGCCCCTGTCACATCTAACATATGATTTTGTTAGTTTAGAACATGTTCTTTACTTTCCAAGAGTGATTCAGTCATGCATTGCACCTGCCAAACAAAATTAGTTTGAAATGAATTTCAGACATGTCTCCACATGACATAACACAGGTCAGGTGTAACAGGAACACAAAGATGTCACATGTTGAACCCTGAATTTAATCAATGACCTCTATTCAAAGCATATTCACACTGACTATTGAACAGCTGTGATACTGTAAATAATATTTATTTATTACTTCACATAAAATTTTAAGTAGCAGGGTGTTGACTTGAGATGAAAAATCTATATTTGCTCATGTAATAAGGTCAAGGTTGTGAACCTGTTGAAAATGAAAAAAAGTGTAGAGTACAAAGGACGATACATGTACAGCTTTTGTAACTTGGGTTACTGTTTAAATTTAAATTTGGCAAGATCTCTTCGAAGAGTTGCAACAATTCAAGTGTTTTCCTTTTCTGTGGATTTCATTTGGGACATTTGAATTTATGATTTTCTACAGCATACTCTAACTCTTTGTCTCACTTCATTTCTTAAATTTATCAAGTTTTTATGAACTAAGTGATCAACTATGCTCGGCTTAATGTACCTCTACATGTCAGTTTGAAAGATCAAAGATCAAATGTTCTGGCTATTTTAGCTTTATTTTTCTTTTCAATTTTTAATTACAATTCATGCTATTTATCAACCTATTTTATGTTCTTCACCTCATTTACCAAAATGTGTAATCATTCATGAACAAAGTAATTGCCGATGTTTTCTATTTTGTATAAACTGTGACATTTCAGTTTTTAAACCTCATCCTCATTGTAAATTGAAACCAAAAGTTTAGAACTGATGATGCCCTTGAAAGTCATCTGTTTTTTTTTTCAAAATCAATCTTTTCTTCTTTTTGCTCTCAAGTGTCCTCAAATATTCTTACACAGTTAATTTATGGTTGACAAATTATGTACTTGGCTCACTTTGTGCGTAGTAATTCAGAAAAACACTTTGACTTCGTTCTAGCCTAAATCTTGTTCCATATGTATAGCTTTATCCCATATCATCATGTGGTTTTTATCTGGTACATCCTCAACAACCAAGACAAGGGCCAAACAGGGGCTGACACTCACTTTTTACAAGCAAAATTATCAAACTAACAAATCTGTTATGTTACCTGTTGTCATTTAACTACAGTTTATAATTGAAATTTGTGTCATGTACAACTGAAATTTATGTCATGGACACGTACCTAATGTAGAATAAATAAAAACAAGAATTGTCATACTGTGATCAGAAAGGTGATTTTTTCATAGCTACGTGAAGCCCAGCTGCAGAAGCTATCATGACATTAAGGCAATACTTTCAGTCATTTACATTGTGTCCTGATGAATAAAAAATTTCTCCAACAGAACTCACATATGTTCAAAGAACCATTGAATCACTGATTTCAGTTTATCACATTTGAGCAAGAATGGTAGCAAAAAGGGTGATCAGAACTGTGGTCACCAGCCCTGACTTGAAAACCGTTGCACTTGCTGCTGACTGAGTCGTCATATCTGTGACAGTTGATGGTGGGTCTGTGATCAAAGAGGAGATACAACAAGATATCTGTTAGATTAGGACAGATGAGGTACAGGATTGTGAGCAAAAGTGGCCAAAGTAACGATTAGGAGAACTGGAGTTGCCAGCCCGATAGCAAAACCTTTGCATTTAGTCAGTGAATCCGCAGCATTGTTGATGTCAAGACCCCATAAGGCATAAGACCCAGATGTCCAACATAGAGATTTCCTGTCAGAATTCAAGTCACGAACGATTCGAGTGGACGGCAACAAAAGCATTTCTGTGTCGCTGTTCACCCTGCCACTTCTGACGCATTTTGTGAATACATGTAGTGTCATGCCTGGTCTTGTCCTTGGTTTAATTTTTGTGATGGTCTTAACCACAACACTGACTAGTACTCGTCACATGTACCTGTGGTAGCTTCTGCCACTTCAGGAGTTGTTGGTGGGTCTGTGATCAGAAGGAAGAAGTACACCCAAGCAAGCAGGATGTTGAGGACAGAAGAGATACACAGATATTTAAGAATGAAGATGAAGTCAGATGGTGAAGATTGAGCAAGATGGACAAAAGTCAAAATAAGAAAATGTTAGCAAAATGATTAACCTCACCTGCATAACCTGCACGGATGTACAAATAGTGTCATTTTTAGCATGAATTTTGCTCTCTCGAAAAGTGCATATGATGTGGAGAGTATAGTTCATCTATGTTAACCACAGTTCATGTCAGATTTATCTCACAGTGTTACATAGTCATAGAACTGTAGGACATGTCTGATATATAGTCATTTCATTTCTCATAGTCTTTTGTTAAGGGTCCAATCACCATTCTTCCTGTGAGTGTGGAAAAGCTGTTAATTAAAAGAGTAATTTCACAAGTCTGACGGAGTTACATTATGAATGAATAGAAATGAAAAGGGCCAAGAAACACAGGAAAGAAAGTACGGAGAAAGACCAAACCCAGTTTAATCATTATTTTTGACATGAATCATTTACCTGCAACTGTAGCATTCCAAAATATGTTGAATCCTGCGTATGTTTGCTCTCTGTCACTAACAAAATAGACAAAAGCTGTGTCATTGTAGACACTAAATGGACTAGGAGCCCTGAAACCATCAAAGAAGTACAGCCTGGGATTCAGCGCATTCCCCTGTGCCAATTCGCTGTGTGGGACGTAGAGTCCGCTACCGACAAAGAGCTCATCTGCATTCCTCTCTATTTGGAAGTTCTGGGCGAAGCTGAAGCGAATTTCCGTTGCCCAGGGGATGTAGAGAAGGACCAGGACCCTCTCGTTGTTGCTGTAACCGGTGGTGGTGTATCCGGGGGATTCATAGGAGCCCGTTTTGCAGCCCTCTCCGTAGCACGTTTCAATTATTTGATTGTCTGCATTGATCAGAACCAGCAGAACGATAATTTGACCATTTTGATATGGATTTTGGCGTCAACAAAACAGGTCAATTTTTGTATGACTGGTTTTTTAATTAATGTGGTAATGAGATGTTTACTGTCCATCCCCCTCCAAAGTACTTCAAAGTCTTATGTTGTCTTTAAAATTGATATTGTTTGTGAGTTAAAAGGAATGAGACATCATGTATGTGTAAAACATGTTACTTTCAAAGACGAATCGAGACTTACTTAATGTTTGCGTGCAGTCATATCCCTGGTAACCCGGCCTTGTACATTCACAAACGTAGCTTGGCTGGTTGGGTACGTTCCTCACAAAACATTTGTTATTGTTTGGACATAAGTTTGTCTCACACTCTGACAAAAAAAGAGGAAAAGAAGGGAGGTGCGATCTGATTATAAACTATACATGTATTTAAGGATTCTTTTTTGGGGGGGGGGCAAACTTGATTAAACCTTTGGCCATTGCGCAAAATATTTAATCAAAAAATAAAGGAGATACAGAATTGCGTTTTTTACCTGTTCCTGAAGATTCCAGTATACAGTAGGTGATGAAAATGATTGCCAACGGAATCAAGATTTTGTGTCCCGTATTCATAATTTCACCAGCCTTTGGCTCGGAGAGAATCTCTCAGCTTATCTAAACAGGGCGGCCTGTTACAGTCTGGCATCAAGGTCTGGAGTACCTGGTGGTTCTGTCTGCCAGATCTATTTATACCATACCCATGTGGGCCATTGTTCCTGGTCCAAGGTTTCTCGATTCTACGTCATCTGCACGGAGAACAATCAATGATGACAACATCAGACTGCTCGCACACGGATCTGTGATTCATCATGTTGATTCTATGAGGCAGAGGTTTTGAACAATAGCCGCGAACCTTGAAGGTGTTTGGGAGTAATCGGGCAGAAGGATGGCAGGCGGGGTAGAATGAGGTTATGCTTTGTTCGCCGTACATTTTCCCAAGGAAACATTTTAAGGTAATTTCCCTTGTTTTTAGAATGTGCTGTTTGTCTAAAATGTTAAATGGGAAATGTAAACTTCCTTTTAAAACGTTTTGAAGAATCATTTTGTAAGGTTTGACCAAATAAGGAGCATTTTGAAACTCAAAAGCCCTGTCTGCTTTGCAATAGGGTGGGATATGAGTCCGGGATTAGGTTAAAGCGTATGAGGTCCCCCAAAGAAAATATACCCCGGTAACCATTTAGAATGTTATGTGTGTTTTGGACCAATCCAGATGGTTTGGAAATTGTTTATTGCTTTCTCTGATTTATTATTTGCTTATTGATTTTCAATTACTTTTCCACAATTCTAAATCTAAAGATAAACACAACTTTTTTGGTTTGTCGGATGGTTTTGTTTCTATGACGTGGTGTACATCTGTTTCTGGTTTGATTTTATTTTATTTTTATTTTTTTAGTCTCAGCCTCGTTCATGAAAAAATTCCGAATTTCCGTGAATTCTTTGTTACGTTTACCCGCAAAATGAATGGGAAAGGTTTTGTAGGTTGGAAACATTCTCCCGCATTTCATCCCTTCTATATCCATCATGTAAAACCACAGATAATTGCGGCCGAGTCGGGGCCCAATAGCCCTTCAGACAAGCAGGACTGTAAATGGTGTTCCTTTACCATGGATCAATACCAGCTCCATTAAAAAAAATGAACAGATTTTGTATGATATTGCAAATGGTAGACTTTTTTCCCAAAAAGGAGCCTAAACATTATTTTTGAAAAGTAATGAGGGAAACGCTAATATTATCAGTCTCTCTTCTATTCCCTTCCTTCTGAAAGCGTTCCAAAATGTGGCCTCAACCCTCAGAAAGGAAAGAAGGTTACATGACAAAATTTCAACATACAAGTATCATCGAGTACCTTTCAGAACTTCCCTATAAAGTCAGTTTTGACAAGTTATATGTAGTTATTAAATACACTGTACATCTTACTAAAATCAATACAATGAAACATTAAGTTCGGGGACATCCAGCATATGTCACAAAAATTAAACGTTTTGGAAATACATGTAAATCCAAAACAAGTTTATGTGAAAAGACATCCAGTTTAATATTTACTGCTCGATGATGGGTTTCACATCTCTGTCGTCACTAAAGTCAATATTCATGATTTGCCGAGTCACGTGTTTGGTGCCTTGTTACTCCTCCCCTTTTTTGGAAGTTGATTGTAATTTGTGATAGACACATAAGTGCTCAGTAATGCTTTCGTGCTCTGTAGAGATTTCACATTCAGTCCGTTGTCACATTTTCGAAATAACTTGCTCAGAAGTAAAAAAAAACAAACAAAAACAAAACCAAAATACGTTTGTGCAATGTGCTGTTGCCACATCAGTTATTAGGGGGTCTATGTTGAGTTGGCAATCAAGATTTAAATGTTACTGAACGAGTACCAAGCATTCTAGCCCAATATACTTCTACGTGTACTTCAGATCATGGCTGCAATGATCAAGTTCTGATGTTTGTAATTCTTATAACTGCATTTCTGCCAAAACAGCCTGGTTCCCTTCTAGAATTGAAAGTACTCTCTTTAAGAAAACCATTATTATGAAGCAGATTCAATTCATATAGCCTACATGTAGTGGCATTCGTAGTGACTGAAGAATCTCGAAAATGCTTCAGTCACGTTGTCTTTACGCGTCACTCCATGTATGACTCCACCCAAACAAATTGTGCGCAGTATAAATATTTTTATTTCTGAACTCTTCTGGTATCTTCCGTCATAATTCATTTTTATTTATATGTGCTGGATACCTGCTATACTTATAGATCTACAAAAGGGTAGTTTACAACCAGGCCAAAGGCATTTGGGGGAATACGCCTATCGTCTGGTGTTTGTCGAAGAGTTTTACTGTTAGTACAGTAATCTCTGAAGCATGGTTACTTTCTCCATCTGTCTGATTTCGCTTTTGTCCATCTTTGCCATCTCTCTCTTTCAGTGCGACTTAGTTTTGCTGTGTCTCCACCCTTTTTCAAACACGTTCATTGATACCCGGGACAGTTGGTTTTTCCAAGCCTGTTTACCTGCAGTTCGCAGCGCCATTTCAGATTCGTCAGGGCCAGAAACGGTGATCATACCCCCCTCCTCTCCAAAAAGTAGCCACAGAAGGGGGATAACGAGAGCAAGGCGAATTTTTCTGTCTGTTTCATTTCCCTTCCTTACAAAAGCCCCAACAAAAAGATCATAAAAGATTAGGCCTACTTGAAAAAAAAATTCCAAATTTTGGCCCTCAAAAAAAAAAGGTCCCGCCCCCCTCAAAAAAAAATGGAAAGCCAGAGATCCAATTCTCCTTTCTGGAAAGTATCGCGATCCAATAGATTTTGCTCAAAGATGGCATCACTCATTGCCAACTAGGCACCAAATTTCTCCTCCAATGTCATTGTTTAACAGAGATTTCTGATTACTGACATCAAAATGGAGAATAAAACTTAAGGAGAATAAAATAAAGGCTTTTCTCATGCAATCTTAGCAGAAAATGTCCCCCAAAAGTGTTACTACTTGGTAAAGTGAAGGAATCTTCCCTCCGCCTGGCATTCAAGATTGGGTGAGTTCATTACAGTTGTAGGGATGTGCTTCGGCAGAGTGAAGTCTGTAAAACAACTCGAAGAAATATTTCCCCAAACAAATCATTTGAATATATCTGAAAAGTCCTTTGACAGGTCTCCATATTATGAGTATGAAAATGATGTGCAAATAACTGAGTTTTCAGTAAGAAATGTGACTGTTCTACTTCGTAAACCCTCCTAAATGCAGAAGATGATTTGCCGAACTCTAATTGGTCATTTTTCGCGCCTTGATTTGTGGGTGAAATGTGACGACCACGTGAGTGAAAGGCCGGCCATTTTGAAACTCGACATGGGATAGAAGGAAAAATCGGAGCTGAGGTTTTTTCTTCTTTTTCAAAAACAGTTTTGTAGGTAAGATTAGCCATTTGATGCTTGAAATGATATTCTTTTAAATGAAACTCACTTGACTATAGGTTTTAATATTTGAACGTTTTAACGAGTGGACCGTCCAGGTTTGCGTAGGAATTGATAGGTCACCTAGGCCTACTGGTTATTCTGAGCAGGCACACGCAGGCCTATAGGCGAACAGGCTACATGTAGATATCAATTCAAATTCTACACTTGATATTGAGCTCAAGCCTCAAAGTGCATTTGTAAGGTATGGTGTCAAAATCAAAAGTAAGCCTACCTCCGTGCACGTACAAGTATGCCCTAGTTTATTTCGGGAATGGCAACTGGTGAGAATGTTTACTTTGGAATATTATTTTTGACGCTTTCCATGTACGAATCACGGGATGCGGAACGTAAATCATCACCGTGTCAATACGTAGGACTGGGAGGCACATCGTATGGTTAATGATGTTGATAAATATATGGTGGGCATAGGTGTATTTAAGAATAGGACAAGTTTCTTATTGTCTGCTTTTTTTCATAAACTAGGCCTATGGCGTGTACACAGGAGGCCAGCTGTAAGAGCTTTGAAATGGCATTTGTTGACGGAGAAAGGTCACAGTGTTACTGAAGTTTGTAACCTGGCTTCATCATTTGAACATTGGCATGGTGAGTATATGGCGGTCCAGAACATTACAGTGATTAGCTTTGTTGAAAAACCAAGTACGAAGAGTTCTATATACAGACGCCAGTAATTATTGACCTTTAGAAAGCCAAAACATGTCCAGAAAAGCTCACTTTAAGAGAGAAAATATCGAAAACATTTAGAAATTTTCAGACCAGTCTCATAGGTTTGTGCACGGGTGTCAAGAGGCGTCCATATATGGAACTCTTTCCACACTCCCAAATCCTCTGATTTCAACATGATTTTACATACACCCCAGAAGGTTAGGGTTAATTTGGAATGTGCTTCATACTGTAACGTAGTACGGTCAGGGAATCCACCTTGGCTACTTCATACTGGTACCCGGCAAGGAAATACAGTCAGATTAGAAGTGTTTTCATTAATTCTTTCATCTAAAGACTGTTGTAGGACTTTTGAATATTTGAAACAGTAGCACAAACAATCTAAATAGTAAACTCCCTTATGCCATAATGAGGATCAAACATTTAATAAGTTATACTCAGGGTTTTGACTCTATAAAATCGTTTTGCATGAACAGTAATGTAATAAACTAACAGTACGTAGGAATCCTCAAAATGGATGCCGGACAACTTGGCCATTTGCCAACTCGACTTCGGACAACTCGATCATTGAGACAACTTGACCATTTGCCAAGTCATCCATTAGGACAACTCGACTTTGACAGAGAGACAACTCGACCAGTGAGATCTCTTCACATGTTCTCATGAATACAGTCATGTTCTCAATTCAAGATTGCGAAATTATTCAGCCAGCTTGCGTGCAGCTCTACAAAAATCCTTGAATTCCTGTGAAATGTGGTCACCGTCCACCTTGTGTGATAGAGATAACATGGTTACCACCAAAACCGTTTCAAATTTTAAACTTTTAATTCGGACATACAAGATTAATGAAAGTGGTGACGCTTTTTTCGTTCTGGATCAGTTTCCGGAAAGTAACAATGTGACAGGCAAATCTGTTTTCAGCCAAAACATTGTAAAAAGCTTATTTTCTAATGAAAAATTCCTCAATTTAGAAAACTTGATTCCTAAATAAGAATTCCAATAAATTTTTTAAAAATTGCATCTTTTGTAAATTTCAACTCGACTTTTTCAGCTGCACAGCGTGGGCCATCAACGATACTACTTCGTGTCCCACAGCTGATGAACCCATTATGTCACGTACATTTCTGCAACGTCCATATAGCGAGATGAGTTCGCAAAGTATATTGTGTGCATGCACTTAATGCGTGATTCATTTTTTGGCCAGCTTTAATAAAACACAACTTGGAAAGTCATATCGATTAAACAGACATTAGCTAAATGCAAGAGTTTATAAGAGTGTTGAATAAGAAAAAAGGATTTGGGATCACTCGCAGTGAGTGACGTATAGATAGATAGATAAATGGTTTATTCTCTTAAAATGACGAGATGTGGCAATCAGAGATTGAATTGCATCAAGTCAGCACAAAAAATGTTCCATTAAGCATTACTTAAAATACATTCAGTTAAAAATACTTATAACATATAAAATTACAAATAAGGGACATCATCCCTCAAAAGCCTATTTATAAATCCCCAACAAGGCTGTGTATGCCATATCAGTACTCTCTATGATATGCAAACCTCAGACCTCATCTAATTATCATCTTCCAATAGGATACTAAAATCTTCTTTGCTCTATCGAGAAAACTTAGCTTTTATGAAGTTAGATTAAGTTAAAAAATAAATGGTTCACTACCGACAAAAACCAACAATGACCACAGACAGACCCCCCACCAATAGGCGTAGACGATGACAAGGACAGCAGAGCAGGGACGTCAATAACATCAGTACTAATTCAAGTCTAATTAAAAGATTTGAGAACAGATCAGAGATTGACAACTCTCAAAATTTGTCTAATAACAATAAAAAGAATACGAGGTGAAGATTGTTTAAAGGTTCCAAAATCCATGGACCTTGAACAAACCAATCATCGCAACTTCAAAACAAAGAACAATTTAAAAAGATAGTTTAAGAACATATCAGAGATCAGTCATCAACTTATAAGTGGAATCAATTACAGTTAATTTAGTCAATGAGGTAGGGTACTGCATTACTCTGAAATCTACTTGTTCTACATTGCAACTGGGGAACTCTGGAATTTCGAAGCACTTTATCATTGCTTGGTCAAGTGGGGATAATATTATTCAACTTTGAGTTTGCTTTCACTATTCGTCATTTTATTCCCACTGCCATTCCAAAATGTCAAAGTGCAAATCAGAATTTTCCGAAAGCAAGTTTTGTTCAACAAAAAGTTTACATTTCACTTTAAACCAAAGCCTGTCTGAGAATGCAGAACTGAAGGACAACACCAAGTAGGTAGGTTTTTATTTCAAGCTATCCGGAGCGAGGAAATCAACTGTGTAATGCATACGGCTATATACATGTACGTGCAGCGCGGGTGCAAGATCGGTTGATTGTGCAAAGATTGACTTACTTCAGCCACCATTGTTATAAATACCTCAGAAATTAGGCTTGTCAGTCTACTACATGAAATTCCATCCCATCATTAAGGCAAACGTATACTAGTTTACACCTTGGCCTCAGTAGACGACTGGGCTGAGTGGACAGTGTCCCAACGGACGACTTGTCCCAACAGACGACTTGTTTCAACGGTTTCTCTCCTCAAAAATCCTCAGTTATCTGCATGTTCCTCCTTCCACAGATACAAGATCACACGGTGGGCTGTACATGTAGTCGCAAGACCTCCAACTTGCATACATCTAGTCATGGAGAGTCTGCTGTTAGGTGAGTCAGACAAAAGTTGTGGGCTCACTCCATCACAACCAAATTTGTGCAACAAACTGTAATCAAAAGCATTTTTTCTGGGAGTGTTACTCTGCCCATCAGCAGTCATGCCGGCATACATGGTGAATTCAGTGCAGTAGCCATATACATAACACCATAAATATGGTGTATCTCATCATGCAGTGTTTGTCATTGGAAATGGAAGCATATTCGCAACAAAAACGAGTCTGATATGTGTTGGTGCATTTGCCGAGCTTAACACAACATGTCGTCGTGTTGTTATGGATCATACAGGTTGACTCAGCTCAGAATGCCTCCAGAACACACTAAAATGCCTCCAGGACCCACATATATTCCCAACAAAAATGAGTCTGATATGTGTTGGTGCATTTGCTGAGCTTAAAAGGCAATATTATGTAAAACTGGACACGAGAGTTGGAACAATGCAGCAACTGTAGCTGCCTGAATCAGCATTATTTGTTTCTCTATATATCTGAAAAGGTTCACAGATGCTGAACTTTCAACTCACACAGTTGTACGTGTAAATAACGTTGTTGGTGTGCACAGAGTTTTGATGGAGTGAGCCTTAAAATTGTTCCTCACTGTAAAACAGTACTTCAGTAATGTGCTAGGAATAGTTTTTGTAGACCCTCAGTGATTATGGTTCACACAAATAGGCCACAATAGGGTGTGGTCCTTAGAATAGCAGATTTGAAATGACATTTTCATTCATACTTTTCAAGTGCAACACAGCATGTTATCGTGTTGTAGATCGTACAGGTTGACCCAGCTTTACTAAAATGCCTTCAGGACCCACTAAAACATAGAAGCTGGCACTGTATGCAAAATTGCCCGGCCAAAAATGAAATTCATTTGGAAGGTTGAAAGGCAATTGTACTGCAGATGATATGGTGAAACTTGCTATTTCAAATGCAAGCACATAGTGCAAATGAGCCAAATACAAGTAGAATTTTGTATTCTGTGCCACGAGAACCATTCCATTTTTTAAAAAAAGTTGATCTAAGCCTTGGCTTTGACATGCCATTGAACTATTTGCATGCCCCTGAATTTAAATCAAATGGTATGCACTTTTGTCCACATGCGTGAGAAATCTGACAAATTTGGACCTTTCTTGCTATGTTTAGCTCAATATCTGACCCTGTATAATCTCCTGTCGACAGCTAAAGACAAGTGCATGTACATGTACATGTTTTTTATGCCTGCATTTAGGATTTTTCAAAAATTCACCTTCTGTTTCTGCTCTACTTTGTCAAGTTCATCATGAACCAAATGGTTTCTAAATAGCTGCTTTCTTAAAGTTTTTCTCTAAAGCATCTTGTATCTTTTTGTCGAGTCATTCCCTTCACCATAGCACAAACACCTTGACGAGACTGCCCCGTGAGCTCCTTTTCTATATTTGTATATTCATTGTCTACCATGAGTTGAAACTAACTTTATGGGCAGTGAACTATTACAAACCAAGAACTTCTCTGCATGTATCTTTGCCAATTCCTTTTGGCAACTTGCTTTAGAACTCATGAACAACCTTTATTCTGTCAGTTTTTCTGATGTTCAAAGATGAATTCTTCAAAAACACTAAAGTTACTTTTCAAAGCAGTTTACCATCCTTGAAGTTTAATTAACCTCTTCTACTAGAATTTTTAGAGTTGGATTTAGGAGTAAAACATTAAGGGTTTCTATTGTGAATTCAACTGTTCCCTATATAAAAGATTGAAGTCTTGAATCTGTAAAAAAAAATCAACGTTGTTTTGAGAAACTTAAGCTACTTCAGATGTTTTCATGAAATTTGAACTGTGAACATTTGGGCCACTGAAATAGTTGTGAATTCTTGGCTTCAGGGCACGAGTAGTATGTTTCTGGATGTGTGTACATTGCATGCTTGTTGGGTGAATGTGTCGGCGCCGACATGCAGTTGTGAGCTCATGCTCTGAAGCCTATTAGTGTTGATTGCTTTCAACACCAACATTTTCAAGTATAGGAAATGTCCAGTAGTGTGGTAGAGGTAAACTGACAAAAATGTCCAAAAAGAATCACGCTTTTAAAACTCTGCAACCAAAATGTCCCCCCCCCCACCCAAAAAAAGTATTTTCATCTTCATTTCATTCTATGAGGTAAACTTTAACACCTGTTTTAAAGTCTAAAAAGTACTTGTACTTGTATTTAACACCTTCTGTGGCTACATGTCGTCCTATCTGACCAAATGATACTTCAGTGGTTAAACAGTTTTCTAACCCTGTGCATTTGTGACAAGTAAATAGATCTGATTGTGTGCGGTAGACACAAAAGTCACTGGAATTGGCCTTCATTTGTGATATAAGAACTCAAGGTTCTTGTGTGCTACTTTCATATACATGTACCTGGACCTGTACTTCCTTTTCTCTGCATGAAACATAGGCCATCTTTCTTCCCAAAGGAAAACTAAATGTTTATTTCTTTGTAAACTTTGCATGCCTCAATTCCCTACGGTTTGCTAGTACTGTGAGTTTGAGGTGAAAAAACATGTTTTCATTTTTCTTCCTCTGCCAGATCTATGGAGGAAAATAAGCATTGTTTCAATCACTCTGTTAGAAATCTTATGAAAACATAGTAGTCAAAAAGATATGCTATGCCCTAGCCTATATTGGCAAGGAAATAATCTCCATTTTTGTCCACTTAACTTACATGTACTTCCCACAGGAATGCAGAGCATTTCAAACAAATATCAACAGTTTTCCTCACTTTGGAAATATTACCTGCTGTCTACCTAACAATCTTTTCCTAGTGATAAAATTACTTTTATATGAAACTCATTTTTTTCTTGCATCTTTGAAAACGTCATTTCCCCATCCCCTTTAATGTTACATCCGTCCCACCACTTGAGTTTAGTCCTTAAACTCTGTTCTTTCAAGAACTTTCCAGAATTTCATCTTTTCTTACTGACTCACATCAAAGCTGCTTATTTTCTTTCTGACTTGGAACATCCGTATTTTGTAAAGAATTCTGCATTGCTGCATTTTCTTACCTTTCAATCAATCAACTTTTCCCACAAACAAAAAAATATTTGTCAGAACAGTTCAAGCCCAATTTATTTTTTATATGTGAGAAGAGAAGGCTGTCTGCTTTTAAATTCAGAGTACATGTCCTTGAGCTTGTGCATGCCATTTATCCCAAGCAATATAGTTGTCTGATATTTTGCAGTAAAGATTACTGCAATCATTGTAATGCTTTTAACCTCAGTAGGCTTGTCAATTTGAAGCTTTCTTCAATGTGGATTCAGAGCTAATGGCTTGAATTTGTGTCTAGCACTCAAAATTGTAATGTGGTGCACATACAGCATTGCTGTATACTAGTTGAAGATTCCTAGTGGTAATCTTCAACATGTTTGAATTTGAGAACTGGACATATTGGCAGATTATTATTATGGTTTTTTTTTTGCTAATTTTGAAAGTTTAGATGTACTACCTGTAGGTTGAATTTTTATTGCATTTAGTGAATATATGTAATGTGTACTCTATGTGATTTTGGCCACCATGCCACCGCCTTGCTAATAGTTACAGAACCAGTGGAATTTGCCTTTTTGTGCACTCAATTTACATGCTTCTGCATGGATGTCAAAGTTTAAGGAGCATTCATAATCAGTAAACAAACTGTGCTGTATGAGACACAAGTTAACAATAATAAAATGTAATAGACCACTACACTGATCGTTGTAGGGTACTTATAGGTGGCCATCACTGGCCCTTCCTGCAAGCCTAGCCCTTTAATTGTTATTGCTGGTATTACTATGGATACTGCAGATCGTACAAGTCTCATGACCATTTTCAAAATGCTCTTCAGAGGCCACTGCCAAATATTCTAGAATCATCCCTCCCCAGTGAATTACCAGAATAAGGCCAAGATGTTTTAAAGCACACCTCACAAATTTCATCACTAAATGCCGTGAATAAAACAAGCCCAAAACTTATCACATTATGTGATGCAGTACAAAAGAAATTGCTTATTGCCTAACGATCTTTTAATAATAAACTGATACTTCAGACGATTTTATGGTGAAACCTGCAATTTCAGACTGCGAGTGCACGTGCAAGTGGGCCAAATATAAGTAGAATGTGCAGCACTTTAACAACTGTTCACAAAGGCCCACGTAATTGAGGCAGCCACCCCACTCAGTGCATAAATTTGTATTCTGTGTAACGAGAACCATTCCATTTTTTTAAAAAAAATTGATCTAAGCCTTGGCTTTGACATGCCATTGAACTATTTGCATGCCCCTGAATTTAAATCAAATGGTATGCACTTTTGTCCACATACATGAAAAATTTGACAAATTTGGACATTTCCTGCTTTGATTAGCATCTACAACAAATTTCATCACTAAATACCGTGATGCATTTTAAAACTTGGTGCCGTGATGCATTTTAAAATTAGTTGAGATTGCACAAAACTTGTCACATTTTGTACAAAGAAATTGCTCATTGCCTAAGGATCTGTTAATAATAAACTAATATTTTGTACACAAAGTGTACCAAAAGTGTCTAGTTTTTCAGGCACAGATGTATTAAGTTCATGTGTAATGATCCTGGCAGGCAAAGTTTTTTTAATGAAGCCTGAGGGGACTGAAAAATTGAAAGCAATTTGATTGAATTCATTTCTGAAAACAGATTTTTGAAAGAGGAACTTGGAATTAGAAAGTCATCTTTGAAGTATGGGGAAAATGTTGTTTAACTGAACCTTTTGCTAGAAGCCCTCCTTTAAAATCTCAAATCGTCCATGCAAAAAAAAATGCTTTCAGCCCCAATCCTCCAAATTCTCCAAATTTCTTGAATATGCTCCTTTGAGGAGTGTCCACTGTCCCAATCTTTCAAAATCTCTGATAATTCCTGTCATTATGTTGAGGCAGTGCAAATGGTATCCTGGAGCAGTGTGGAGGACTTGACATATAATGTAGGCTTGAATGTATGTGTGACTGCGCCACACAAGGTCTAATCCACAACCTTAACACAAGGCATCCTTTGCAATCAGCCACACTTTCTTTGTCATTCTTCCTTGATCTATCTTCCAAAACCACTCTGTAGATTTTAAGGTCATGTACATGTCTGAGACAATTAATTTTAATCCAGAGAAGCTCTGAGGGGGAAAGTTCAAAATAATTAGAAACAAGAACCGTGCCTGTAAATTATGTTTACCTCTAGGCTCGCTTACTTCTTTTTAATTCAAGATGTTTCACAGATCTGGCAGTGCTGCCAAGATGTATTGGATGTTACTTGTATCATAAGGAACAGATATTGTGAAATTTGTGTCCTATAATAGCATATTAGAATGTGGTTGCAGTATGCAAAGTTATTCCTGACCATGGGCTTTCAAAAAGAAATAGCAAAATTAGGGGGGAGGGGAATCTGTAATTGATTTCTGAATAACCTTACGGGATTAAGGAAGGTGCATGTAGAGCCACTAACTGAAATTTTCCTTAGAGCTTGATGCACCTTGATATTTTCAGTTCAAAGTTCATGAATTAAGGTCAATAGTGAGTTTGTCTCCTAAACTGCTGTATTTTGTCCCAGAACTTTGGGAGAAATTTCACAAGCTAGTTGTGAAGGTGGTGACGCCATCCTTTATGAGAAGCCCAACGTGGATGTGGCTTGATCCTTCTGATGGAGTAGGCACAACCAGTACCAGTACATGTTGAGAGAGTTGATGTGTAGGAACTCATCTAATGACATTACTAGAGGAGGCATCTGATTCTTAATTTGATAACCCAGTGTCAGGATGTCATCAGTGGCATATGAGTCATGTTGGACGGATGGAGCTGCTTTTCCAACTTGTGGATTCCAACTGGTTTAATTTGGTACAGTTAATACAACAGATTCAGTTGGACTTGCATGTTGTGAGCTTGATCATTACAATGGCATAGTAATCAATCTTAGTAAATGCTTGTGCTTGAGCATCATATATCTGTTTGCTTGGGAAGTATTGTACTCCATTATAATTAGCTAGCACAGCACTGTATTTAAGACTCCTCCAAAACCTTTTGCTTCAATCAAAACAAGGACAGATTTGTTTAAGATTTGTGTAGCAGTTCGTACGGTACTTGGCTTGTAACTTTTACTATGTGCAATATACCCTGCTACATTTGTGCTGAGAAAATCTCAGTATTAATTAAGGTGGGTACTCTGTTGCATTATTGGATAACAGAGTTCTATTAGGAGGTGCCTGATCCTTGGAATGGCCTAACATCAGGGTGTGGCTGAGGTTTGTCCCCAGCTGCGGAGAAGGCGTAACCCCAGACTGTTGTTTGGGAGCCCAGTTTAGTTATTTGTGCATGCATGTAATTGTTTCTGGCTTTGAGTATTTTTGTTTGGTTACTTTTTGCATGCTTGAAGTGGTGTTGCATCCATTTGATGATGTGCCCACTTTTCTTGATGAAGTGAAATGGAATGTACATTTTCTTTAATGACATGCTGAAGAGTACGAATCACAAAGTACTCTGTTTCAGTGGCCATAACCCCCCCACACCAAAAAAAAAAACTTTAGTGTAAATCACAGAGACTGGCTGGGTCAGCAGTGGTCATCGTGGAGGGTTTGAGGCAACAACATTAGAACAATTTTCTGAGTTGGATGCTAGTTGTGAGACCATCAGGCACCAGCCACAGACCAATCCCTTAGGCCTCACGTATGTTCACTCCCTCCACTTAGTTTTGCTTATTGTTTAGGGCCAAATACTGATAGGCCAGTACAGCTTTTGTGGTGGAAAGGAGATGTCTGATGTAATTGTTTTGTTATTCAGTCATCTAATGCAGCAATAGCCTTTTTCTAGCGGTAAAATTTGTTGATTCCCTCTGTTCCTGTAAAACAAATCATGATATTCTTGCATTTGGAGTTTTCCCAAGAATTTGAAACACATAGAGGTGAGGCCAGTGCTGAACTAAAAGCCATCCTGATGCTCATATGCAGCGGTCAACATTTTTCTTAAGCCAGATTCAAGAAATTAAATTTGGTTCACGCTGTGATTTTATTCTGTCACAGCAAGTCATTACATAACCGAAAGTCAAGTTGATATTCGAATAAAATATAATTCAGAAGGGTTAAACGATATCAATAAAAATTGCTTTATGATTTATCAAGGATTGATACTGGCTTCTGTGGACACTAAATTAATGACTTAATATCACTTTAAAAAAAAATGTTGCCCTTTTGGCTTTATTGTGTATATCATGACTGATGTCATTTGTAAATATATATGTGGGGCATGTCTCCAGAAAACTGCACTCCTGTAAAAAATATTTTCAACGGTTTATGTCGCACACTATGTGTGCTGTGTTGGCAAAACACCAGCGGCATCTCCCTGTGAGACTACAACATCCACTGGTATCGAACACTGGCTATGGCTCTTCACCAATTGACCAAAATCTGAAGCCGTTGTCGCAGGAGACGCGACCAGAACGCGACTTGCCCGTCATGTATAACCTCACACAAACCCGTGTATTAACTCAGTGGTGTACCAGCATTGGTGGGTAAACATACATGACCTTACCTCATTGGGACCTCCAGGCTCCAAAAGTGGGTGGTCCACATGCCCCCTGCCCTCCCCTTCCTTCTATGGCTAATGGTGAAATGAATACTTAAGACCTGTAAAATAGTGCTGTCACTATGCACATGTATCTAAAAAGTATTCATCTAAACAGCATTCTATTGAATTTCAAAAACCCACTCTTAAAATCCAATAGTGTTGATTAGTATTTCAGAATACCCAAATTGGATAAGGATGGGCCATGTAAAAATCAATCAATAATTCGGTTAGTGTATTTGTCATTTGAAATTAACAGTTTACTTTCAGTGGAAGACCCCTCCAAAAGTTACCTGCGTAGACTTCTTGGATAGGGGTTTTCACCTTGGATAATTGATAATAAGGTTCATTAATGTATTGAGGTTTACTTTTGACAGTTTCATTTCAAGAGTGGACATTATTGAGTGACATGAAATTCTCATTGAATCCTTTCAGAGTATTATTTGGTTTCATGTCACTTTGACAACCTGCTGATTGTTACCGTGTATTTCAACTGTATCTTAGTTCATTTTTGTCATGGATCTCCCATAAACTGTGCATACGTGTGGCTGAGTAACGAATTTGTTTTGCTGTGCTAGTTTGCACGTGGCAACAAGCAGAGTATCAAAGAGCGCCCTCATTTCCAAAGAGTGAAAAATCATTTTATGTTGCATTGACCTCAGAAGCAACCACAATTGTTTTAATCTGCCAAAATATATTATTTTATAAGAATGTTGTACTGCCAAAATCCAGTTCTCAGATAATACTCTGCTAATTTGAAATGTTTGAAATGTTGATAATTAGTGCTAGACATTTGTAATTGTCAACTAGTGTGAAAACAATTCAGCCTTCATTTCTCTGAATCCGCAAATAGTTGATTGCTAAAGTGTACTCCCTGACTGTAAATTAACTTTATGAAGTCCAACCTTTTGTATTAGTCAGTAGTTCTGGTTTAAGATAAAGGTCAATAAGGCCATGTGCTATCAACAGAAATTGTTTGTGTGCCCAGGTTGTACACCATCAAGTATCTTTCATGTTGGTGCAGCATTTGCCATAATAGGTTGAGCAGTTTTCAAAGCAGATAGACAGCCTTCCTGATCACCTCCAATTAATGTATATTGTCATTCTGATCCTCTCGCTGTCTTGATTCTTTCATTGTCATCCTCCGATGCATCAAACCTTAGGCTGGCATCCTTGCCCCTTACAAACATCTTCGAGTTCATTCAGTATTTCTGCCTTGCCCTGTTCCTTCATACATGTTGTGTCTCTCTGATACTTATCCAAATGTTCATGTCTAGTGCTGACTTTTTACTTTATCACTTCTTGGACATGATGAGTTCTGAGGCCTCTCTGTAATCAGACTCATTTATCTTAATGTTGCGCTCTTTTTCAAACCTTGACAAAAAGACCCCTCTGCAGGGTTAATATTCCAGTACTTGATTTGTGATGCACTGACACTTAATACTCTCTGAATGTTTCTTGCTCTGAAAGCAACATTGATGTCCGTCCTTTTTTTTTTAAGATGACAAATAATTGGGACTCCTGAAGCTTGCATCTGTACCAGCAGTCAAAATCAAAATGGACAAGGACAGTTTGGGAAGAAAGTTAATGAAACTAAGAATCTACTGGCTTAGATCAACTTTTAATAACAGATTGATGAGTCAAGTATGGCGCATGTATGGCAAGTGATGGTATCTGTCTCAGTTTATAGTGTGCGCTGCAATATTTGGCCATGGTGGATAGCGCATACAACTTTCTGTAATGAAATCATGGGAATTCTTTACCGACCGTTTTCTCCAGTTTTTGAAAATCATTTCTACAGTATTGTTCAATGGTAACAGACTGATCCCTGACAGCTGATTTTAACACTTTTACTGAAATGCAACCTAACCTATATGTACATGTAACTAAATGAAGCGCAAGGCGCCACAGCCACTTTTGAGTTAAAGGCCTTTAAAAGAATCTTACACATCCAGTATGGCTTTTTTCCATGTTTCTTATGCACGTGATATCAGTTTTATCATGATGCCAAACTGAATTATACATCAAAACAATTAGGGCTCAGTTTACCTTTCTTTAATGCAAACTCGAACAAAATTAGGCCTACTTGAAAATAGGCCTCAAGACTCATTTAGTGGAATCTGGTCTCAAATGTAATTTGTGGCTGACAACTATAGCCTTTTCAATTTTAGTGAATAACATCTTCATGAGGAGGTAGAAAACTCAAATGGAAACAAGTGAAGAGATTTGCTCATTTTGTGATCAGTATGCCTTGAAGTGATAAAATCAGCTGTTAGTTGAGAATCCTGTGGTCTGGTAAATGGACCTCTTTCAGAGACACTCTGATTTCTGCCTGCTTTATCTTGCTTTATCCAGCAGATTATTTCTGACCAGACGTCGATGAACAGTTCATGGGGCCATCCTGCAGACATCAGGAATCTGTGGCAACAGCTACAAACCAATTTTCAACATGAGGTTGCCATTTGTGAGACCATCAGACATCTGCCTTTGAAGGACTTGCCGAAACGGGGGGACCATTACTCCCAAGCTGAAAAACTTGGGGGGGTTGGACCCCAGTCCTTGCTTCCGCTGTCAGTGATCTGTGACATCATTCGAGGAACTGCGTGCCTACAAGAAGGGGAACACTTGGTGTCTCTCTCCAGTAGGACTGTTTATGAAAAGAGCAAATCCAAAGCACCAGAGTTTATTACTTGACCAGCTCTATTGAAATCTGGAATTAGTTAAGAAACTACAGCATCTTAAACGATGTTGTCAAAAAAACCCATTGAAGCACAACCTTTCAAGAAAAGGAGCCTTAGCTGGGCGATTTAACCTTCAAAGATTTTTTTGGACCATCTCTCAGACAGGGGAATGAGGGATCTCCCAAGGACTTGGCTGTCACATGCTTGACCTTTTTGAAGCTTGACATGCATGTAAATGCACAACTGTGAGGTTTAAAATTCAAAGACAGGGCCTTGATGTTATGGCTGTTTGAAGTTCATGGCCTCAAGCATTTTGGCTGTATGCATGAAGGATGCCAAATTTCTAGCTGTCTTGTGAAAAATGGGCTTTGCTTGAGAATGCCATGTCCAAATTTCACAAACATTGGTGTAAAAATGACCACATAATGTTGCCAGAAAGGAATTTATTACACTCAGCTAGTGAAAAAAAATGCAACACAGCGAGCAAATGGAGCAAATGTTTGAGGGAGATTCCCCCCCCCAAAAAGACGGTCATTTGGTATGAGATTTGTCAGAAAATGTTTCTAAATGTCACAGATGCTAATGTACAAATTGCATCACAGATTACTTCATGACTTTGATTTTTTTCCCTCTCACGTCTGCGGTAACCAAATGACAAAGTCCATTTTCCATGTTGAAAGGAGAGCTGAGTGTTGTAGTCTTTGAAATGTTGATTTCGATGGAGCAGGTCACAGCTATGCTGAAGTTTTTAAGGTTGTTTGAAACTTTAACTGTACTACATTTTGCTGGACACTGAAAATGAATACAGATGTATGCGTACACTGTATGTGTTTCAGATAAAAACCAGGCACATGCCCAAGAAAGTTGTAATGCTTAATAGTAGCATGGCTTTATTCAAATCCATTCCTCAAAACTGGTGTTTTACAGGTTCTTTTTTTTTTTCAGAGCAAGATGAAAAGGAGATATTGCCTTTTTGCCCATCAAAGACTTTTTCGGTAAAAAGTATTCAAACCTTTGGAAATGAGGCAGTACAAAAAAAATGTAAAGACAACAAAGGGTTTCATGTGAGATTCATGTTTGCCAACACTGTGATCAGAATTTTACGAGGAGATGTTTGTCGGATATGTGCCTGGCTTTTTATCATGATGCATTTTTTAGTGGTATATAAATTGAAGTGAAGTGTTGTTTAGGCTAAAGTGACTTTGAAATGACCTATATATGTAATAAACGTTATGTATAGTCTACAGCGGCACATTGTGATATACACGATATGGAGGATCAGAATCGCACAGCAGACAAAATGTTGACTAATGAGAGCTGGGCTTTGGGTAATATGTGTTATACTGTTCTGTCTGTAATGGCATTCATTACTGCCTTGCATTTGAAACTGCTTTTTATCAGCAAAACACTTATAAAATGCTTGCCCGGGCCACAGTTTGTACATTTGTTAGAACTGATGATTTGAAGATTTCAGTGTCTGCCATCATGAGGTGTTTTTTTTTTAATATTCTAACCCCCTCCAAAAAATGAGTCATTACAGCAGATGCTAGCTTCAATAACTACAGTAGTTTCTAAACGGGTTTTGCCCTTGAAGCTGTTGTTTACCATTGGTGAGACATTTTATTTCTATCTTTATATCATAAGATGCTGGTTTTTTGGGGACAACACATCTGATTTCTCAATGTTCTGAAAATCACGTTTCAATTTGTTGAAATTATACTCGTGTAATTTCTGTCTAGGGCCCGGACAGATTTTGCATGGCAGTATTCCCAAACATTTTGTCATTGCGAATTTTTTCTCTTAACAAGTAACCGATGGTAGGCAATGTGTCCAATACTGATGGAGATTTCAATCTCCTAAATGCTGAAATGTACTAGTGCGTTGTTCATGTTGTTCATGATGTGCCACTGTAGACTCCTTTTTTTTCTTTGTTTGAAATAAAATGTCAGTGTTGAGTGGTTTGCTTTTTTTTCTTTGGGATCTGCTGTCCAAAGCAGTTGCAACTTCACAGTTAACTATTTCTTTCTGAATCAAGTTGGCATTGTATGAATATTTTTCTGGAGATAGTTATGATGTTTACCCTTTTATTGCTACATTAATAACTTACGGATGAGTAAGATGAAGCTTTTGGAAAACATTGTCAAACTAGACAGCATAGCTTCATCCTGGAAGCTTTTTAGACTTAATTGCACTGCAGCGGGACTTTCGCAAAGTAGTCATTATGCAAATAGTGCTTTTCGTAGTGCGGAAAATGTGAAATGGACAGCAGGTCTTCTGTCTTGAAATTCCATCTTGGTGTTTCCAGGCTAAGCCCCAATGAACACACTGCATCAAAATACACAAACATTTGAGAACTGTTTTCCATATGTGCTTGAATTACATTACACTTTGATTTCTTAAAAAGCTCCTCCAAAACTAACAAAAAAGTTAAATTTGGATGCATTGTGCTCGTAAATATCAATTACTAAATGCATAACCAAAGTGGGATGTAGAGTGGTTGGAGCTGTTACTAGATGAACAAAAAAGACTTGGAAATTAAACAGATCTGTACTATGAATAGAGTGGGTTGGACCAAATCTGTTTTTATTGCATTGAGTTTAATTAAAAAAGTTTTTCAAAAGTGATGCAATTCAGATGGTGTACATGTACTCTGATGATTTAATGACCTTTGACCTGACCTTTGAACTATGACCTGAACCTTAAACTTTGACATGACCTTTGAACTATGACCCCACCTCTCAACTTTGACCTGACCTTTGACCTTTCAACTTTGACCTGACCTTTGAACTTTGACCTCTACGGGCGTCCAAAAAAAAAGCCCAATGCATGCAGGCCCCCCCCTGCTGCACACCCAAGTGGTGTGTCCCCGCCCTACAGACACCTTCAGACCAGGCAGTCCCCCAAACTATCTGCACCAACTAGTGATCGCTTTTTCTTCATGTGCACACATTTCCCCACTCTTGAAATCCAAGCATTCATGAATGACTTCAGTTAACTCCAACAGGATAAGGATCACTTGAACTCTTACCATCGGCATTGCTTTTCTATCAAAGTAGGGCATCTTGGTTGTTTATACTCTGTGTTGCTATGGATACCAGTGATCTCTCCATTACTCCCAAGAATTGCTCATTAAAGAGAACCCTCCCACACGGGCTACTCGTCATGATCTTTGCACCCGACAATTCCAGAGCCAGAAGTTACACTCTGTCTGAACCAACTAGATAAAGCGTTTAACACACCCCAACATTTTGTAAGCTTTCTCAGACATTTGACAGGTTACAAATTTGTAGGGCAATTACCACAGTCCTTATCCATGTAAATAACTTCCATGAAAACTCCAATAAACCGACAACTACACATACTGTGTAAACCATGTTCCTTTTTTCAAAAAAGAAGTCTGTATAAAGAACCCGACTATTTCTTACGTGTGGACATCAGTTAGCTTACAGACAACTGATTCCTTCTACAGGGATGGGTTTCAGTCAAAAAAATCTACATGTACCATGAATATGTGCAAAATGAGTCCTTGTGAAAGGATTCATAGGCCCAAAAACCCTCACTTTCTGTCATGCGACACTTGTCATCACAAATACGACATATTTGACCTTTTTGGCTGCACACTTTTCCAGGACGGTCTCTCAAAAACAAATCGCATGCTTTTACTATTCACAAGAAGGAAATGAATCGGGGAAAGTACCACTTGCTTTCAACTTGTAATATTCCTAAATGAGAAGCCTTTTCTTTTCTGCCGTAAGCTGCTTAATTTCCAGAATCATTTCTGTAAGTTCTTTTAAGAGTTGTACGGTAAAATTCAAAAGTGATGTGCCATCATCAATCTTTGTTTCAAGAAATATGCAGAGTATTCACTCAGGATTATGCAGCGTTCTGATGTGTTCCTGCTTTGCTCATGTCCATTGGTCTCTTTTTTATCTGCTTTTCATTTTCTGCAACCAATAAAAGTAGATTTTACACCAAGGCCAAACTCAATGTAATTTTGAAAGATTCTCCATAAACAGGAAGTTTGAACAGTTACTTCGCAGATGCACAACATTTACATTTTGATCGCATAACTTTTTAAACCTTTTTTTCTTACAGAGAATCCAAGTTGGACATGTCCGAGCAAACCATACTGCCTCACTGCCAGATAAACAGTGTGCAGTGACAGCATTTCGGCTCGGGGGAGGGGGCATATTTGCCATTTTGAGACAGTGCCCATGTAGGAAGAAAAGGATGACGAAGTTCAGGATTATGATTTAACCCTCGCCAGCAAAGCTGTCTTTTC